CAGATTATGCATTACAAAAGACTTAAGACGCTTCCAGAATGGAAGCTGTGTAGTACCTGATTCCTTATTAATAACAAACACAACCTTAAGGAATTGAATAGCTCACTTACAGAAACACCAAGGAAACCACACCCATGATGGCAGGCGGAAACCAGGCTCTTTCCCAGCGGAGGACTTTATCGGCCATCAGCATCACCTCTCCCCATCCTTGCAGCTGCTCTTCCAGACTTGCAGTCTCTGCAGCCTATATACAACCAATATTTAAAGCCATCATTTACTACTCTCAACATTCCTGAGAATTAATCCTAGAGAATTAAACTCTTCTAAGACATCAAATATAGAAAACAGCTGTAAACCAAATCACTATTTTAAACAAATTAGTTCCTAAAAAAAAAAACCTCTAAAATTTTGGTGCCAATGACAAAAATCAGTGGAGAAAAAAAAAAATAATTTAATGGTCACTTTCCAAGTCTAAGAACTGGGCTACTCTTCACATAAGGTAGGGATAATTAAGACCCACTTTACATTAAAGAATGATTAACCAACTTTCCCAAAGTCATGCACTACCAAGCACAGTACCCACAGTATAAAATTAGATCTATTTGCTCATTTCAGGTGGTTAGAATTGATTTGCTGTTTTGTCATTTCATTGATTTAAACCCCAACTTCTAAGTCCATTAGGATGGCAGCCTCTCCCTGAACAGCGCTCAATAAAATTCTCAAGTAGCTCTTTGTGTAATGGAATCATTTAGATGTTGACATCATTTGCACAAATAAGGAAAACTGCTTTTACCAAATAATAAATGTATACATCTTCTACAGCGCTTCTTAAACTTATGAGGACATTTTGGTTAGACTTCAAATTTCTCCGAAAATCTGACAAGTCAACTTCTAGGATGAGCTAATGTGGAGTGGCAAAACGTTTTCTCCTTCAAGTTACACTGCTCTGCTGGAAAGAGTGTTTGAGCTCCAGTCCGGGACCTGTCATTTCAACTCCGTGCTTTGATCAATCCTCTTAAAAGGAACCTGGCAGGGGCTGACTATAGAGGTAGGTAGGTAGGTAGAGGGAGGTGTGTGGGTGGGTGTGGTCATGCATTTCTAAAAACAAGTGCACACACAAACTACCCTGCAAAGTCTCTTAATCCCTTACAGCACCTGGGCTTATTAGAACACAAACTACCCTGCAAAGTCTCTTAATCCCTTACAGCACCTGGGCTATTGGAAAAGCAAAAGCCAAAAATTAAATTATTTGCTCCTTCTAGTCACTGTGGTGTGGTGTGTGGCCTGCCTTTCCCTGGGAAAAGGGAACGGAGAACATGCACCGGTTTCTCTCGTTTTTGACCAGAGCTCTGTGCCGTGAAATCCACAGTGAGGTCACATTTGTCCACCTGTGACGCAACCTCACTCCAGTTCCTTCGGACCCCTGCTTATTCTGAAATCGTCCTGCGACCCCCAGACGTACAAATTCCAGACAAACGCCTGGACCTCCCCTCCCATTGTCCTGCCAGCTGGACCCCCTCCCACCAACTTCTCTTTCTACGGTGAACTCGCTGCCTCTCTGCCGTTTTCAGCTCTGCCAGCGCTAACAGAAATGTTCAGCCACAGCCCTTTGACCCTCCACCCATTGCCCAAGCGCATGGGGGAAAGGAACCAAGGGGCGTCCCGGTTAAGATCAAAGCGGAGAGATGCGATACAACTGGGGCCTAGGCCCCAACAGCGCTCGACAGGCCCCTCGCGGCCCTCTTGCCACAGCCCCCCTTCTTCCTCAACCCGTATTCGCGATCTGATCGCCCGCCCTCCCCTCCCCTCCCCCGGGGGACTAGACACCGCCAAGCAGAAGCTACTCAAGAAGCCCGAGGAGCAGACGTTGTCGCCAGCGCCAGGAATCCCGGAGAGGGCCGGGCCGCCGGGGGTTATAAACACGAGGCCGCAGCACCGCCAGGTCGAGCCCACCGACGTGCCGCAGCTCCGCCCGTTTCCCGCGTGACGAACGCCGGCACTCACCAGCAAGTTGGTGCTGCGATTATCTCCCTCCGCCATCGTCTCCCAGGTGCCGCTTCAGCGAGCCCAAGGAAACCTCCCAAACAGCCCCGGTCCAAGAACCGCAGGGCGACCCGGGCGCGACAACACGCCCAGCAAACTCCTTATATAGGCCGGCGGCCTTTCCCGACAGCCCCCGCGAAGCTCGTTCCTCATTGGGCACGTCGAACCCAAGCTTCAGGGGAGCCAGACCAACCGCTGCCCAGCGCTTGGCTTGAAATCGAGGTCAAAGGAGAGCGAGGCGGTGCAGGGCCGAGGGGGCGGGGCCACAGGGTGACCAATCAGCGCCCAGGAGGTGTGCGCGGCCCCAAGCAGGCCTTCGGGAAGCGGTTGAACGGCTCCAGCCTACGCCGGGCCTCTGGAGCCCCAGGATTGGCCGCCACGGGTTGTCTCGGACCTTCTGCTGAACCTCAGAGCAGCTAAGGAGACGGAAATGTAGTTCTCGAAGAAAGAAGCCGCCCCAGCGTCAGGCGGAGGGCAGGATCGGGCATGTCTCCCTAACCTCGGACGATGGGGGGGCGGACTGGCGGGGCACCTCTTCCCAACCCGGCCGGTCCCCTTGCCACGCCCCCAGGCGGCCTAACCCTGCTCCCGCCCCCCGGCCAAGCCCGTGAGCCGTTTAGCCCAGGCTTGTGACGCGACGCCCGTGCCCACCACTGAAGTTTTGAGCTGTTGATGTAGATTTCTGCATTGTTCCTTCCATAGCAAAAGGGCTTTAGCTTGGTAGGGGGAGGGGAGAGGTCATCTGGGCTTAGAGAACTCGTGAAAAATGCACCGCTTTGTAAATCTGGCTTATGGGGTCTTTGTGGGGCACTTGTTATGGAACGACGACCTCCCTCTCCAAAAGGGCTGGTTTTGACAACTTTCCTTACATTAGCCAGTGGTTCTCAACCTTCTGGCCCTTTAAATACAGTTCCTCATGTTGTGACCCAACCATAAAGTTATTTTCGTTGCTACTTCGTAACTGTAATGTTGCTACTGTTATGAATCGTAATGTAAATATCTGATATGCAGGATGGTCTTAGGCAAGGACCCCGTGAAAGGGTCATTTGACCGCCAAAGGGGTCGCGACCCCCAGGTTGAGAACCGTGGGATTCTTAAGCAATTTAGGAACTGAGTGAACTTTTGAGGCACTTCTACGTCTTTTCTCTCCCGGATTTCAAAATGAACTAACAAAGCGCGTTGCTTTTCATCTTTCAAACAAACTCATACCAAATGTTGACCTGGTCAGATGTCTGTTTTAGGAAATCTTACCGAGCGTTTAACGTACAGCTTTTTATCCTTTTATTCTGTTTTATGCTATCGAATTTAAATGTTTTAAAACATATAGGTCTACAACTACCAGGTTCTTTTTTAAAAGTTCAGAGAAGGCATAAAGAACTGTGAGAGAATGTAGTGACAGATCACAGAAAGCCAGGCGGACAGAAGCATTATGTATTTCAAGAAAGGGTAGGATCTTTGAAAATCATCTGGCTCAGATATAAACACTTGACGGGGTGGGAGGGAAGCCTTTGCAAGGGAAAGGGACTCTAATAAAGCGCTACTTTGGGGACTATTATTGGGTGGAAAATGGGAAATGTAGGTAAGGTGCACCGAGCTGATCGAGAGAGCCCATTTTGGGAGATTTTAAAGCTATGAAGTTTGAGAGCCAGGCCCTCCCCTCCCTCTTCAAAAGGAAGTCAGCAGACAGTAATTAGTCTCAATAATTATATCGAGCACCGAGTGCAAAATTTTGCTAGAGGCACCGTAACACCCACTTCCAAATGAGAGGCCAGTTATTAGCTTTAAAAAGTGACATTTCTAAAAACAAGAAATAACCCACGTCTGCTTTGGTAGCTACTTCTGGTTTTCACCCATTTCCCTATGTACAACTTAAGACGACTTTTCAACACCCACTTGAGAAATTGGGTAGGTGAAAAAAAATGGGAGCAGCTCAAGCAGCAACAGGTTCTTCACGGAGTGTTTTGTTCCTGGAGGAATGTGTTCCCAGAGCTATTTGCCACTTCACAACCCAAGAGCACTGCTGTAAGGTCTTCCAACTTTCCCAACGGCTTAAAAAACAAAACACCTACCCTTAGTGTAGCTTTCTTTCGAGCTTTGGTTTTGTACTGCAAAAACAGGATGTGATCTTTCAAAACGTGCCAGATGACTAAACAGCTAACACTATCTAGCGGCAACAAATGCAGTCTGACTTCCAGACGACAAAACAAGCCGGACATTTAAATTTTCCTTCAGGTTTTCATATCCCAGGGAATGTACATGTCAATGTTTTTTTGTGTGTGAGATTTTGTTAATCCTCACCTGAGGATATTTTTTCCGTCGACTTTTTAGAGAGTGGAGGGGTAAGACAAACATCTTTGTGAGACAGAAATCAATTGGTTTGCCTCCCGCGTGCCGCCACAACCAGGGCCAGGGTACTTGCAACCCAGGTACTTGCCTTTGACCGAATGGAACCTGCTGCAACCCTTCAGTCCACGGGCTGACGCTTACCACTGAGCCAAACCAGCTGGGCTATAGATTTGTTTTTAAATATTGACAAAATTAAGCTTAACAGTATCTTGATAAGAACTTTCCCACTGAAGTAAAATTCCCACTGCTGTTCAAAAATACTATAGAACTTCGAGGAGAGAAAATTTTTTTAAATTTCTAGAGGTATTCATGCTTTAAAAAAAGCTACTTGCCTGGCTGGTGTGCTCAGTGGTTGAGCATCGGCCTATGAACCAGGAGGTCACCTTTCAATTCCAGGTCAGGACACATTCCCAGGTTGTGGGCTCCATTCCCAGTGGGGGGGCGTGCAGGAGGCAGCCGATCAGTGATTCTCATCATTGATGTTTCTATTTCTCCCTCTTCCTTCCTCTCTGAAATCATAAAAATAGACTACTAAAAAAATAACTACCCATATAGCAAAATTAAGTTTTCTGGAAACTACTTTGACCAAGAAATTCAGAGCTTAAATGCTACATCTTTTTAACCTTTATTTTTTGAAAAACATGTACTTCATACAATCTCTGCCATGGTAATGCAAATATGCACAAAGTAGGCATGTATTTTTGTTTTCCAAACAATTCGTTATGAACATTTTCAGGAAGCTGGTGTGATTTGTTCAACTTTTAATCTTAAATACAATCACAAAATTATATCCATCAGGAGGCATTACAACCTTTTGTACAGAGAAGCCACTTTATTTTATACAATGTTTACTAGGACAAGGAAGATTCAGTTCAACTCAATTTGCTCTTATAAGAAGGGTAAAGTAAATTAACAAGTATGATGTTGCCACTGACATTACAGGTGGAAATATAAGGGAAATTTAAACCAGAAAAATAACTGACACAAGAACTTTAAATAGGAACTGAAACTGGGACTATCAGAAAAAGAAGAGGGGGCGGGAAATCAGCCTGTTTTAAAGAAAGAAAACATTCAAGTCTGTATTTCAGAACAACATGCAATTCCTTGTTTACCGTCTTCAAAAGTAGAGCTAATTGTATGACATTTTTACATTAGCACAACCAACAGCTTTTCCCTACTAAGCCCAGTCAAATTCCCATAGAAAGTAAAAGACTCTAAACAGTTCATGTTGTACAATTAACCCTTGAACCTAGAAAGTTGCTCTAAGAGTCCATTTGCCCATTTGGAAGAAAGGCATGGTGATATGGTTACCCAGGCCTAAAAAGGAAAGTGCAGCAAACCCTTAAGGGTCAAAAAACAGTGAATTTCCCCTTCCCAATGTTTGGGAAACTTTGTAATGCTAGTTTTTCTCCATAGGAAGAATCTAATAACTCAAATAATGAAAACATCTATCTTCTTTAAGTGAACCTTACATTACTATATCCTACCTCCTTGATTTAAGGGAGGGTGGGGTAGTTCTAGCTTTGAATTACTGTCATTTTACAAACTCAGGAAGAGTACAGAAGGTCACTGATTTCATATGCATCTAATTTTATGTAAAACAATGGTATTTAAATGTGCTAATAGAAAAGCATTCACTGATTTTTGATGTAAGATGAAAGGACTAACAGGCCAATTGAGGGTGTTTTTCTTTAATATGAAAAGAATTGGGAGAAAAGGACCAGCTTCTTACTGCCAAAACAAGTAAGCCCCCAGAGAAGTCACAAATATGTGGAGGAAAATAGGCCAGGAAGACTTTTCAGTTTAAAGTACTGCCTATAATACCCCAGATTTAAAAGAACCTAAGATTGCACATCAACTCTAATATTTGGCTGTACTTGCATTGCCCTGCGTGGCATTTTTTAAATGGCTCTTTCCCTAAATTTCACACATCAAGAATAACCACAAAACAATTCAGAAACACCAAACATTGGACAATATTTTAAAAAACTACATACTAAACTTAGTTAATAAAGGCAAGTGTTAAGGGCAGAAGTGATGAAAGTTTTTCTTTGTATTACAAACCCTCACCCTGAACCTGGGTTTGGGCTCTTAATAAAAATAATTTAAGGAAACAGATCAAGAGCTTGATTATCAGTTCTCAAAGAAATCTTACATATCTCAAAAACAACTCACCACAGTGTCAGACACAAAATCTATTTTGTGTCACCTAGCAAACTGTTAAGAACTCAGAAATGCTGTTAAAACACACCAAAGAAACAGTAAAAGAGAAATACACTCTATAAAACCATTAAGCCTCCACAGCTTTGTAGAGAAATCAATATTTAGGCAATTCTAGAAAATTAAAGACAACAAAGACAATAAACTTCAATTTCCAAGGGTACTTTGAATGATAGGTTGTAGGTTATTCTGTACCCCCTGAATTCGAGAAAGAAAAAGAGAGGAGCAGACCCCTGGTTTTCCAGAGGTATTCTGTATCATTAAAAATGTATGACTTCATAACCACAGCACTCTAAACTTTACATTGTTAAAAGACAATCCCCAAAATATAGCCCTGACTTCTCATTCTGCTTTATCACCAGGGCTTTTTACTGTTGATTAACTCTCTAATTGTTGAGTTCTCTTACAGCAGTTTAAAACGGCAAGGCTACTAGTACTTGCAGAATCACTTCCCAGAGGAAGCCAAACTGTAGAGATTGGGGTCTTGTCCAGGGTGCAGTAAGGAGCAGCTTTGAAGTCATCAGTTATATCTGCCCCACAACCAAACATATATATGCCACACTATTCTCTGAGGGATTATTTTAAAATGAAAATGATGGATAATTTACCAGAGGCACATGTTTTTGCTATAAAGCTGTTTCATTTTTGCTCAGATAAGGTGCCAGGTACCTCTGAAGCCAAAAATTCACAGGTGATAAAGTTCACCTACTTCATTTATCTTCTTTGCCAAAGAGGAAGCAATTTTTGAATACTACCTATAGGGACAAACTAGTATGAACTGGTTTTATCATTTTGATGGAAATTTTTCCTTGTGACAATGTTGCTGAAAAAACTGGTCAATCTTGAGGAGCAGAGGTAATCAAGTGATGAATGCAATAGCCCCACAGCCTCTAGGAAATAAAGCAGTGTGCAAAACACAATATGGCATTATTATTCCAGATAGGTTGTTTTGATTGAGAAAGTAAGGTTAAAAAAGAATGAATAAAATTTGATGCACTAGGTTCCTTAATCTTGCAATTAGACACACACGGGTATTTTAAAAATACCACCTTTCTTGCTCTATCTGTTGAAGTATTAAAAAAGCACTGATACTGAAATGCAGTCTAATGGGTATTTAATTATAGATTAATGCAGCAATCAGAATACAGAAAACGCCAGAGCTATGTGGAATTTTTTCCTTAACAGTTCTCAAGTTTATCTGTGAGGATTGGCAACTAGAAAGTGATCACAGTTCTAATCTCTAAGACGTAGGAAAAATAGACTCAATCAAGATTTTAAACTGTATTCTTCGTGTTGTGATTTTAAGAATCCTATTCTAATCTGAATTTTATTTTGGATCAACAATTGAGTTTACAAAGTCAGTACTGAAATGCAATGCTCAATTTAACTTGATCATGAAATCACTATAATTAATGTATTACTAAACAGCAAACTATTAAAATTATGCAAAAACAAAAGTACTTCACAGACTCATTGAACTTAATAAAAGGTACTGGTGGTTCTCACTTTTGCTGATGTTTTCATGTACATGTCCTAGAATACCAGGTAAACTAAAGCACTTCTAATTTACACCTTGTAAATTAAAAGTATCAAATGAGAAAACTGAATTAAAAAAACATTTCACTCTACCTTCAAGAGAACATCACTTTATTTTTTATCTGTCATCAACAATGTAAAACTCTAATAGGTATTCTATCCTGGTTTTTAAAAAGGTAAAAAGATTACATTGGTTTAGCTACTTTCTATGAAAGAAACTACAGCAATCACAGAAGAGGGAAAATTTGAATGACCTCCAAAAAATGCACACTATAAGCAAAGGGGAGTGTACATGAAATCAAATGTCTGTTAGATTCATTACTTTTGAATGCACAGTGAAAATTCTGGAAACTGTACATGATAGAATCACAGAAATGACTTAACCAGAATTACATTTTATATGTGATCATCAGACCTTGAAACAATCCTTGAATTTTCCACGTTATCAGTGGATTTAGAGAATTTCTGTTTATCACTCCAAATATAAGTTGTGTAACAGCATCAAGATGGAAGTATATGAAATATAAGGATTGAGCAAAAAGTGAATTTGAAAGATGTCTAATCTACTAGATCAGGTAAAAGGGGAATGGGTAGGTGGTAGGGTCTAGGGAGGAGGATGATGAGTGGGGTTTTTTCCTTTTATTTCAGAAGTAAGTTCTTCCCATGTAGTGTATCTGTTACATAGCTCTCCATTTTCAGTCCATTTCTGAAATTCTTATCACATAGCCTTTTTGTACTTACTGGTCAACCCAACCAGTACTGTTGCCAAGCAACAAGTGTTACACAAGAATCTGAATGCATCAAATCTTCCTTGGCTGTGATTTCTTTGCGGCCCCAGTTCTCTGTTTCTGAGCGGGGTTTGTTTTTTCCTGGATTGTACACACAGGGTCAGGTGGAATGGAGTTCCAAATCACTCTGTGCTCCGCAGCATCCCGATTTCTTTCTGCAGCTAACCTCCTGACACATTTGCAGCTGTTCTGAGGCAGAAAGACAATCTCCGTGTTCAGGCGGTGAGCTTTCTTTCCTTCACCCTTGACCCTAGGGTGGCAGGCCATGGTGTTGGGCGTATCCCTGAGTGCAGCTGCCCTGCAGGATTCCCCTCCTTGCGCACCGAGATTTCCTAGGTTTCCTCAGAGTAAGCCCCCAGTTGCATCACCACCGACTGTGGTGTGGCTTTGGATGCCTGAGGCTGAGTTGATTCTGGTGGACGTCTGACCTCGCTTAACCAGACTCATCTACTGTCTTGCCATTCACACCCAGGCTGTCCAACCTTCATACAGCTGAGCCAAGTTATCTAGATTAGTTGCTTCCTTAATGACATAGTCAACCTGTAAAAATGGGCAGGACAGTATTTAAAGACATTTAAGACATGACATGGTTCATATATGAGTAATATGAATTATTTAATATTAAGTTTATAATCACCCAAATTAATTACCCAAAGGAAGTATAGTTGCTGTTGTGGAAAAGAGGTTAAGTAAGTGGAGCTTCCCTCATAATTGCACAGCTTACAAGATGGGTGTCAGGAACCTCACAACCCCTCTGAAATTTATGAATCCTTAGATGAAGAGAGCCCTACTGACCCCACAGTTGCTCTTAAAATTAACATGTATAGTCACTGGGAAAATGCTTAGGTGCTATGTAAAAAAGTGCCCAGCAGATTCTGGAACACAGTTGGGGTGCTCAACAATGTCCACATTCTGACTCAGCTAAATTTTTGTTTATTATAAGAGATACAACCATCTCTATATCCAGAGCATCCATCAGGGTCCAATTATATAGCAAATGCTCACTATATGGCTGAATCATAACCTATGAAAAAATTGTATGCAAAGAACTCTATACTTACCCCATTCCTATAACCCTTAACTTACTTTCATACAAAATGAAATGACTATCAAAATAAAAAGTACAAAAGCCAAGCCTCCTCTAAAAGATGAACAGAGAGCTATGATGGGACAGTCATGAAAGCATACAACCCATTAACCTATGAGAAAGTCAGAAGTAAAGATAATAACCCATGGTTATTATCCACAAACATTGTCCACGGTTTTTTACAAACTTGAAAAATTGCTTCTAAAGAGTGACTCTTGACTATGAATAGTGCAAGCTCAGGTCCTATACCAGTGATGGCGAACCTAAGACACGCGTGTCAGAGGCGACACGCGAACTCATTTTTTTGGTTGATTTTTCTTTGTTAAATGGCATTTAAATATATAAAATAAATATCAAAAATATACATCTTTGTTTTACTATGGTTGCAAATACCAAAAAATTTCTATATGTGACACGGCACCAGAGTTAAGTTAGGGTTTTTAAAATGCTGACACGCCGAGCTCAAAATGTTCGCCATCACTGTCCTATACAGTGATTTAACAGTGTTTGAAATAAAAAACTTCCCTGCTGTTGAAACTGAATTATGGATGCCAAAACTTTCTATATAATATCCTATATACTAAAAGCCTAATATGCTAAGTGTCTGGTGGCCTGTTCAACCAAAGCGTAATATGCTAATGATATGCTAAGGCTACTCAACCACTCGCTATGACATTCACTGACCACCAGGGGGAAGATGCTTCGACCGGTAGGTTAGCTTGCTGCTGGGGTCAGCTAATCGGGACTGAGCGAGATGGGCCGGACATGCCCTGGAGCCCTCCCACAGCCCTTCTCCAGCTGGCCAACCTCCCACGTCCCTACCTGGCCTGGTCATGCACCGGTGGGGTCCCTTGGCTTGGCCTGCGCCCTCTTGCAATCCGGGACCCCTCAGGGGATGTCAGAGAGCCGGTTTTGGCCCCATCCCGCAGGCCAGACTGAGGGGCCCCACTGGTACACGAATTCGTGCACCAGGCCTCTAGTTAGAAAGTAAGACTTTCAAGCCTCAAATTTTTACAGAAAAAGTTACATCTGTAATGGAGAATTGAGAGCACTGTCCTTGACCAAGTGATCTAACTTGTGTCAAAGATGTGAAATTCTGAGGACACATCACTGACATAGCATTCCTGCCAAAATGGTGATACTGAATATAATTATAAGGAAAAAAAATCAAATACAAACAGTCATATTCTGCAAAATAAATAGTCTGGACACATAAAAAATGTCAATGTCAAAAGAAAAAAAAAGCTGGGAAACTATTCTAGACATTAAAAGAGACTAAAAATAGGAAAAGCACATAAAATACAGGCTGAACCTTGATTAGATCTTATATGGGAGTGTGGGGATGGTTTAATGAGAGGACATTTAGGGATAACTGGAGAAATCTGAATATGGACTAAATATTAGCAAAAGTCAATGTTATCAAGATGAAATAGCAAAATGTTATAACATCACTGTTGTTTCCTGATTTGGTAGTTATATAATTATATTGTAGCTATATATTACAATGGTTTGTTTAGTAGACATGCTGAAGTATTTAGACATGAAGTGTTATAATATCTACAACTATCAAATCGTTCTGAAAAACTGTGTCTGCATCCACAGACAGAAAATGTGAAGCAGACTCAGGAAAACATTAACAACTGGTTTCCCAGTTCTAGGTAGTGTTTATGAGCATCCCTACATTTCTGTAGGTTTGAAAACTTCCAAAAGAAACAGCTGAGGGGAAAAGAATTCATTTTCAAATTTCATATATAAAATTTAGTAACACTACTGAGAAAATTTCATAATAATGACCTCAGACAAACTGATGTCCAAGAACACTTTATAAATAGCATTCCTGTACTCAAAATGTCAGCCTCGGTTCATTTGAAACCTTCAGATAGTCCTCTTTAAAGTGCAAATTAACTGTCTTCTGGTGGAGAGAGAGGGAGGGTCAAGTCACACGTTAAATTTCTGTTACAAGAGGGCTGGGGAGAAAATAAATTGCTAACAAAGTAGAATCAGAATAAAGTGGTGAATATTTGTTAATTCCAGAGTTGTTATTCAAAACCTTCTGAATCCTAAAAATAGATATAAGTTTCTAATTTCTTGATGAAGCCCCAAGTATAATGGTGAGGGGATCTTAAAACCTCTGCTGTTTCAGCAGCATTAAAATGTGTAATTCAAGTTTAAAAAATGGTCACCTACCTGTTCAGCAACTGACATCCTCCTATTTGGATCAACATCTCGACCCTCTAACTTGGCTTTTACTCTCTTCCACACACTGACTGCATACGAGTTTCTCTCTTGCACAGCTATGAAGCAATGGAAACATAAGTAAATCAAAGCACCACTTTGTATGAATATGTAAGGCATCGTTATTCTAACTAATTACCTTTCCCAGTTTTAGGGTCTCTGACGGCCTTTTTAGGACTACAAGCAACACTCTTGCCAGTTCCAGGAACGGTGCTTGGTGGAGTATCTGCTGATGTAGCAAGATTTTTCTGAATCAGCTTTCTAGCATTCTGTGACATGACATCAGGCTGGGTCTTCTGGCCAGTGTTGCTTCGGACTGCTATAGGGAAAGAGTTGGTAGCTCAATTTACATGTAAACAGAAAATGAAGGGGGACAAAGAGGAGACAGCAAGGAGACACTCTCTCAATCACCAACTACAATGTATGGCCTTGAAAATAGATGACTTTATCCCTTGAAACAGAAGTAGTTCTCCTAAAAATAACAGCCTAAATAGCTAGACATCCAGGTATAAATTTATAGCTTGTTGTGGCATCAAAATACTATATCTTAACTGTCCAATAAGATTAATATAGAATGGTATATTAAATATAGCCATTAAAAATAAAAATCAATTTGGCCACTAAGTCATTACAAAAGAAGATTATTTAACTACAGGGAAATTATCAATATTAAATCACAAAAGGCAATAAAAATTACTTCACAGAATGATAACAATTTATGAGTATGTGTGTGCATACATACAAAAAAAGTCAATGAACAAACACAGTCGTTTTACTTCTAATTAGAACAGAAATACAAATTTTTCTAGATTTTCCTAACGGGTATATATTTCATAATCATAAAATAAATGAATAAAAGGGTATTTGAACACAAAGTATTTTTAAACTCTCATATTAGTACTTTTAAAATTAAGCCAAAATTTGTTCAGTTTGAGATAAGGCAGAATTTAGGGAAGCCCTTTAGATACTTATAACTTACAGTACAGTTAAATATCTTAGCTTCTATATACAGATTAACAGATCAAGATTCAGGTCTTTTTTGAAGTAGGAAAGTCCTACCTGCAGCAAAAGAAGGCTGATATGTAGTAGATGATGTTGGACTTGAACATTCATTTGTTGCATCGGTGATTAAAGGTGATGCAAAACTCACTAAATTATTATAGATACTGAAATACAAAAGAAAATGGCTTACTTATGGGATGCTTTATCAGATTACTACTTATATATAAGACAAAGAACATTAAATGAGTTAAATAAACAAAACTTACATAAACACCAGAGGTTTAAACTTTACACTTTACATTTAGGTCAGAAGGTGTCCTTACCTCTGACTTTGTGTTTTCAGTTCTTTCAGGGTGGGTGTTATTTCCTGGAGCATTTCAACATGTTCTTGACTTCGGACCTGACCCATAGCTTGGACTAATGTAAACAGCACCGTCTGAATGTTATCCTGCCATGATTTATATTCACCCAAGAACTGCCTAACACTGTTCTCATAGGGAACATCATCACCATCTGCCAGAGCAGCTTCTTCATCCTAGAATCCATTTATTAATGATCAAGAAAAAATGGTTTTTGTTTCAGTAATTACTCTTGACAGCACCTTCTGAATAACAATAAGTGTTTTTCAAATATCAATGTGTTTAATCTGCTTATTGCCATTTAAGATGCCCTTTCAATAGGAATTTTGTTTCTAGCACAAAATAAAAATTCCAAGTAAAAATAAATCCTAAAATCAAATGATTTATTGTTTTATAATGATGACTAATCTAGCCTTTTCTCGGGGCTCAGTTTCCTTACTGTTTAGATTATGTAGGATACTAGAAAGAAGAGACAATATTTCAATCATTTTGAAGGCACACTTTGGAGTTTGGAGGTAATGGTGGGAAGAGAAATTGGAGACCTAAACATTCTGAAACTAAGTTCAAGTTTCAGCTATATTATAAAGTATGTTACTTTGGTGAATCAATTTCCTTAGCATTCACTTTCTCAGTGTACAAAATCAGGGTACTACTACCTGTTTAAAAAAAATAGTTGATGAAAACACAAATTAACTCAGATACAAACTGCAAGATGTGACTTGAAATTGTTTTTGTTTATTATAAATAAAACTATGTAATTTTATAAAAGGGGGGAGTGATTGTATATTAATGTTATTAGTCTTACCTTAGCCATTGCTTTCAGGAGGTGTTTGACATCTCCAAGTGGCCGATTATGGCCAGTGAGCACAGTCTTTATATTATCAACCAGATTCTGAATTGTTTCACAGACCGTTTCTATCTGTTGTTCTTTCTCTGTTTGAATTGCTCTCTGAGCAGACATATCCTGGGTCAATTGTTTGTGTGCTGACAAAAGCCATTCAGAGCTGCCAATAGGATGTTCAAGACTAGTGTCCTAAACAGAACATGCATTTGTTTGATGTTAAGTATCAGCTGGAATAATATAAGACTCTTTTCTTCTTCATCATCATCAAAAGGCATTAGTAACTCAAGTTGACACAAAGAACTTCAGTTGTCAAGTTATGAATTAATTACCCAGAAAATACTAGTTTAAACAATGTATGAAATACAGGCTAAGATTTTTAACTTTTCAGCATAATCATACAGGGAATAAACAATTAAAGTTTATTCAAACCTAAGACATGTATCTGGAATAACAAGATGATCCATATCCAGGACCCCAAATCACTCTTTAAAATGAAACTGGCCCTGGCTGGTGTGACTCAGTTGATCGGAGCGTCATCCCATACACTGAAAAAGTCTCAGGTTTGATCACTGGTCAGGATACATAAAGGAAGCAACTAACCAATATTTCTCTCTCTTCCCCTCTCTAAAATACAATAAAAAGTCAAAAAACCAAACAAACAATCTAGAACGTCCTGATACACAGCCTAAAGCCTCCCCACAAAATATAAACATCAAATTTATCAACTTGGTATTTCTGTACGTAACTCATCTGTCCAGCTTTTGTCTTGCACCAGCACTGCGTGCTTGCTACCCTATTGTCAGTGCATCTGAGTCATTTGCTATACAGTATCTCTCTCCTCCCCTCTGAACCTCCACAGTACTCTGAGAATGCTTTCCACTTTTTCATTCACTGTATTATTTGTATAAATAAGTTCCTTAAGGGCTAGGAACAAGACTCAACCATCATTCTATTCCCTCAAAACATCACATATAAAGTACACATTCAATAAATGTAAATTGAGTGAATATCTTGATTTTTGAGGGTTTAACATCAGCCTTATCATTTTAAGTACTAAGTCTCTATACTCCCTCCAAGATTCAAGACTCACCACTCTCTGTAATAAACGAAGCTCTAACTCAGAAACCGAACTGTTAAACTGTGATGCAAATGAACACATTTGCTGACACCGTTTGATTAGTTCAAATAATGCAGCATCCAGGTTTAAGGCTTCAGCAGTTCTAGTTCGTAAACTCTCAAAATGAATGATATTGCTGCAGAGGAAAGTGACCTGTGAAGAGGCAAAAGAGGAAAGGAACCATCACAAGAGGGAGGGAAAATGCAATTAATGACAGAAACAACACTACCTATTAATTTCCAGAATTCAGGACCAAAATAGGTTCTGAGAATGTATGAATTATGACTCTTCTGAAACACAGACCTAATCCGTATAAATTATGGCTGTAAATAAGTGTACATTTTTGGTTGTTGATACAGTTAGGTTTAAGATGGCCCAAAGCACCTAAGTATAATTAGGTATATGTATCTCCTACGTGATTGTTTTTACACAAAAAATTTGTTCCAAGAGAAAATTGTTATCATATTCAGCTGCAATTTGTACTATGTCCAAATTTCAATTTGGAATGTTCCCTTTCTACTCCTAACTTTACAATGAAGACCACAAAATGCTAACTAGATATTTGAAAGTATTAAGTACATTTTTAAGGTAGATAACAGTATTGTGTTCTTAAATAGTTATTATCTTTACAGACACATACTGACATCTTTACAGATAAAATTATAAAATATGTGGGATTTCCATTAACTATGGGATGGGGAGGAGTAGTAAGAAATAGAGAGGAGCCCGGGTGGTGTAGCTCAGTGGTTGAGCATCAACCTATGAACCAGGAGATCATGTTTTGATTCAGGGCACATGCCCGGGTTTCCAGATCAATCCCCAGTGGGGGGCGTGCAAGAGGCACCCAATCAATGATTCTCTTTTTCTTTTTTCTTTTTTTAAAGAAAGAAAGAGGAAATAAAATAGGCCTTAAGTAGCCTCGTTGGTGTGGCTTAGTGAATTGAATGTTGGCCCATGCACCAAGAAGTCACCAGTTCGATTCCCTGTCAGGGCACATGCCTAGTTGCAGGCTTGATCCCAGTAGGGGGTGGGCAGGAGGCAGCCAATCAATGTTTCTATCTCTCTCCCCCTTTCCATTCCTCTCTCTCTAAAATCAATAAAAACATATATATATTTTTTAAGTAGGCCTTAAATTGATAATTTTTAAATTTTGGTGATGGGTATATGCAATATTAGTCTAATTTTGAATTTGATTGAAAATTACATTAAGTTGGGGTTTTTTTGGTCCTCTCTGTCCCCCCACCCCAACAAAGTTAACCCACCACCCCTGGCAGAACACTAAGACATTTTATTGCCATCTGGAAAATACAATATTCAAATCTTTAGAGCACCTTAGATAAATGTGGAATTAAACTCTTTATTTTCCAACAGAGGCTGCTGGGATACTTCCAGTAAGGGTCCGGGGAAATAACTGGCTGTGAGCTCAGCCTAAGGAATATTGCCCCCACCCATAGCCTTTATTGGTCTTTCTTCCCAGAGCTTTGACTAGAGGTAGAGCTCTCAAGATACCCCTAGTTATCCAACACTTAACTTCCAATCAGTTACATAACCTTGCAACTGGAAACAAAAATGGCATACATGAGTCACAATACCTGACTTGCTCTTTGGCTCTCCTTAAGGACAAGATTTCTTCTTTCTGCTATTGTTGCTTCAAAATCTTGTAGTACAGGTGCCAATGCAGGGTTGGCACCACCCGCCCACTTGAGTCGCTGTTCAATACTTGCTTCAAGTGCTGCTAGTTTTTCCTATAAAAAGCCAGGAGAATCTCAGTTAATATTTGACACTCTCAACTTCCTGTCTATTGAGCATTTTATATAAATACTAGGGGACCAGCACGCAAAATTGCGAGAGACCCAGGACCCAGAGTCCCGTGGCTCCGCGGGACCCAGAAAGAATCCCGCGGCCGCCACCACCACAGGAGGCGGGACCCGGAAACCTGCCCGCTGCCCCAGTGGGACCCAGAAACCCACCCGCACCTCCGGTTAGGTCCTCCAGAGTCAAGTTCCCGCCCACCCGTATGTGCTTTGGCGTGCACGCAGCCCCGCCCACCCTGTGCACACAGCCTCCTGCTGATCGGTTGTTACAGCGTGATGACCACAGGCTTTTTATATAATAGATCAGAGATTCAAAACATACAAGATGAGGCATATGCAATTTAGAAAACACCTTTAATAGTCACCTTTGGAATTAATCTAGATTTTACTTTGAATGTTTAAAGCTAAACAAGTCTGGACAGGTAAGAATTGGCTTTCAGTTTATTGCTTAAAATTTTCAAAAGGAAGTTTCATTTTCATTTTCAGTCTTTTTAAAAAAAATTTTCATTCATTTTATTTTAAATAGTTATATACCCATTATTTTTTTTTTCCAGAGAGGAAGAGAGAGGGAGAGAGAGAGAAACAGCAATGATGAGAGAGAATCATTAATCAGTTGCCTCCTGCACACCCCCTACTAAAGATCTAGCCTGCAACCCAGGCATGTGCCCTTGACTAGAATCAAACCCAGGACCCTTCAGTCCCCAGGGCGATGCTCTATCCACTGAACCAAACTAGCTAGAGCTCATTTTCAGTCTTTAAAACAAAACACCTGCTACTCCAAATTCCTACTGCACTATTTGTGCTTTCTATAAGAAAATCCATTGTACTTTTGATTGTGAAAAATGAAAATTTTTCTGTTCCACAAATTTAAAAGTTTTAAAATAATGGTAAAAATCTATCCAGATTATTGTAGCAAGGAAGGTGTTATATAACAAAGTTATTTCATTATTTATTCAACATTTCAGGAGGAGGAATTCACATTCTTTCTCTTTCACCTGCTTCTCTCCCTCTCCCTCCCCTCCTACCCCCTCTCTCTCACACATTACACACACACCTCCAAAATCAGGGGGTGGGAAAAGGGCAAGAGTTTACTCTCCTAAGTCGAAAAGTAGGACTAATATGCCAGAGAAGAGGTAGTATTTTAGTCTTCAAAGAAGTGAGCTCCAGAAAATATTAATATTTTTAAAAATATCACAGAAGTGATTCTACTGATTTTATCTTATTAATTTATAAAAAGAATAGTAAAATGTTAGTTACTACTGAGTAAATGAGGTATAAGGATACACAATAAAACATATATATATATAACTATCATCAAGACCAGTTTCTTGTATTTAAAAAAGGGAGTTGAGATTAAATATGTAGCTAAGAAATACAATCAATAATAGTTTGGAAAAATGTTCTGCTAGATATAATAAGCTAGAAAGAATTTCTTATATGTCTGTCAGAAAACAAATTAGGTATTCAAATTTTTCCAATCACCAAGGTTCCCTTAATATATAGATGCATAGTAATCATCCAATTTATTAAAAACTGAAACATATTAGCATAACCAATGGACATGGACACTGGGGCAGTGAGGGCTTGTCCTGGGGGAAAGGAGTGCCCGGGGAGGGCTCAATGGGGGGGGGGGGCGCACAGAGAAAAGGAGACATATATAATACTTTAAACAATAAAAAACAAACAAACCAAAAACCTGAAACATTTAGGATGTCTCTGTTTCAAAATATACCGCTACTATAAGATTCAATTATCTTGGAGGGTAAAAAAAAAAAAGACATAAGCTAAAAATAAAAGTGACACACGCATAACCCGTGGACACAGACAATAGGGTTGTGGAGGCCTGGGGTGGGGGGTGGGGGTAAACTATAAGGAGTCAATGGGAGAAAAAAGGGGACATATATAATACTTTCAGCAATAAAGATTCTAATCTAATAAAAGACAAAAAGGGTAATTGACTGTACCTTCGCTACGCTTCCCATTGGCTAATCAGGGCGATATGCAAATTAACTGCCAAGAAAGATGGCGATTAATCGCCAACAAAGATGGCGGTTAATTTGCATACGTAGGCACAATGATGGGAGGCGAAAGGGGAAGGACGGTGATTGGAAACCCGGGCGGCAGGCAAGAGCCGGGAGGCAGGGCAAAGGCGGCCCCAAGCCCGCCTTTGCCCTGGATCGGAGAACTGGCCGTCTTTGCCCACCCCCCAGCCGGTGATCGGAGAAGCTGCGACGATCCCACAGCAGGCAAGGGCGGCCTGCAGCCAGCCCCCGTGTGCGCCTGCCCCTGGGTCGCCGTGGCGATCCCACAGCAGGCAAGTACTGCCCCACCCTGGCCACAGCTCAAGGGAGAGTACAACACACAGTGGAGGCCAGGAGCCTGAGAGATCAACAGAGAGGGGTGCCTGCTCCAAGCCTCCATGGTGTGGCTGGGGGCAGGCCCCCAGTAGACACACAGACACACACACACACAGTGCCTACTCTGAGCCTCCAACGTGGCTGGGGGAAGACCCCCAGCAGACAGACAGACAGACAGACACACACACACACACACACACACACACACACACACACACACACGGGACGCCTGCTCCGAGCCTCTGCTGCCAGACTGTGGTCATCAGTAGGACATCCACTGAGGGCTCCCGGACTGAGGGGCAGGCTGGGCTGAGGGAACCCCATCCCCCCAGTGCACGAATTTCGTGCACCGGGCCTCTAGTAAAAAAATATAAGTGAGAAGGGAGGGCCATGCTTCTGTGGCTTAGAAGCCAAGAACAAGCATGTAGATATATTAAACAACACAGCACTATTACTTCATTTCATCACAGTCTAGGTTATTCCTAAAAGTAAGACATGCTGGAAGGAAGATCTGACAAAAACACACCTGAACTGCTGCAATGGAAGTTTCAATTTGGCTCAGAGTATGAAGTTTCTTTTTCATGCTGGTTAGGATGGCAGACCGAGGGGGAGGTGTGACTGACATGGCTTGTGGTCTGTTGATAAGGAGATCTTCATGCTGCCACTGTTCAAAGAAAAAGAAATGTAATAAATTCAGGAGGAAAAAAACGTTTAGATAAACAAATAAAGGGAGCAATGTTGGGACTGAAAGGGGAGACAGAGAAACCCAGCTGCAGCAAAGCGGGCTGGGCAGGAAGAGTAATAGAAGAAACATTACAAAAGGACCACACCAGGTACAGAATGCCTGATAAATTTCTTGGATCAGTGATTTGCAACACTGAAATAGTAATTTTGAAGATAGTTACTATTCTATGTAAAAGACTAGTACACAATCCCTCCATCTGAAAGATAATCTCCAGTTAAGAAGCTGAAACAGGTGTGGTGGTGGGAAGGGTTGTCCAGCATGGAGGCTAGCCAAGTGACCAAAAGAATTAATGCAGCAGTCACAAAAGAAAGAATTCTCAAAACAGAGAATCTAGAAGTGAGAAAAAGGGGTGGGCAACTGTTGAGAGAAAATGAAGTCATCCTATATGCGGTAAGGGTGGCCCAAGAAGGCCCAAGGGATGTTTGGACAACAATTTAAAAGTTATGCATTATGCTTAGAGTTTAAATTGTGTTCAGATACAACTGAAAGGACTTTTACAATGTTTTCCATGGAGTTGTTAATTTTTAAGGGAATAAACTCCAAATGTATAAAACAATAAAATTTTTCAGCATTACATTTTTTAGAAGTTAAAAAACATCCCCAAAACACATCCGAATGTGCTACAGGGACTGCTAATAAGTGCAATTTTTTAATTTGAAATAAATGCAATTTCATAATTTGAATAATTACTTTTCTTAACTTATGAACTAAGGAAACAGCCAACAATAAAACTGCGAGGAGAAGAAAATATGCTGGGGTTCCATGCACTGAGCTGAAACCACCAATTCCATTATTGGGAAGCAACTTCAATATAAATGGTACAAAGTAAACATTATTTGTGCCAAAACAGATTCCAGGACAATGTAGTACCCAAATATTACTCCATGCACAACTTGTTTGACGCTATTGACAATATTGAAGACTATATTTGGAAAAAAAGGGGGGGAGGGGGAATAAGTAGCTACAATGTTACTGTGCTTGGTGTCTTACATATATTTTTAAAAATATATTTTTATTGATTTCAGAGAGAAAAGGAGAGGGAGAAAAAGATAGAAACATCAATGATGAGATAGAATCATTGATTGGCTGCCTCCTGCATGCCCCCCACCGAGGACTGAGCCCAAAACCTGGGCATGCGCCCTGACTAGGAATCAAACCGTGACCTAATGAGCCATGCCAGCCAGACATGCTAAATTCAAGTTCATAACCTGAATCCAAATCACTTCACCCTAAAGCCTTTTCTAGTCATACTGCCCCTAAATAAGCAAGGACAAACACAGGCTTCTAAGAGCAATTCCCAGATGAGACAGATTTATGCACAAAGCTGTTGTCACATCAGAGCATCAGGGAATTGGAAGTCACTTTAGAAAGAACCTTTAGATGTTAAACAATACAGGAGGCATATCCACATAACAAACATAATAATGACATAGATAATACTAACCTTTACAATACTGACAGAAACCAATTCAAAGGACACAACTGTAAATGCAAAATTATCTCAACTATATAAAAAAGAAATAAGGATAATTGAAAAAGCCAAAATACTAAAGCTAGGTTTGCTCTTGGTTGGCACAGTTCAGGAGGTTTAACCCTTTGAGTGCCAACCAATATCCTAGGAACTATGCTAAAATTGCCAAGGCATTTTTGCTGATTTTACAGCAGTTTAGGAAAAAAATTATGAATCGCAAGTAAATGAAGTTACATATTCAAAAACTTAAGGAAACCTTTACTACAGTGACATATTTAGCAATATCATCATCACTAATAAAAGCAGACTTGGAACTGGACGCCATTTCGAAGCTTTGATAGCGCTCCCGGCACTTTTGGCGAAAGACAGGAGGAGCGCGATCGTGCTCCCCGGCACTCTAGGGGTTAAGAAGTTCTCTGTTTATACTGTTTTATGTTAACTCCCCCAGTTTTTCAAATTCCTACATTGAGGGAAAACACAGTATAAAAAACCCCAAAAACCCTACCTGAAACATGGCAATATGTAGCTGAACACGCTGCAGGCTTGTCTTACAAGAGGAGATACTGGTTTCCAACCTGCGCACCAAGTCATGCTTCTTCCAGGCAGTGTCGTAGGAACTTGCTAATACAGTTGCCCTGTTCATGACCAACTGAGAGAATTTTCCAACCTGGATGTTGTGCTCCACAGCTTTCTTACACAGATCATCGACAGAAACTTTGCTTTCAGCACCAAAATCCTTTGCCTCCACCTGAGCAATGATGTCCACACCGAGCGCGCTGATGAAACTGCAGAGCGTGAGCCCCAGGGCTTGGTTCGGCAGTCCAATCAAGAGGTGCCTCACGAAGTCAGCTGTGAATGCCTTTATAGGTTTGGCCATCTGGTCTTCACTGAAGCAGGAGTTTCTAAAAAGGGTTTTCACATTAACAATCTGTACCGGCCCATTGACAGCGTTCTGATCTTCCAGGGAACTTGATCCTAAAAGAAGGAAATTGTCTAAAAGTATTTCATGCCATACTAAAATAAGGTAATAACGCTGCTTATTTAAAAACTTAAGATTTTATGAGCGAACAATTAAATTAAGCCTACTCCATCCCACTGCCTTCCAAAATACCACATAAATCCAGCATGTTTAAATGTGAAATATTACCTGACAAAGTTTTAGAAAAGGTACCACAGAGCCTGAAAAACTCCTTAATTGTCTGTAGTCTTTTGAGAAAGAAAATCTCTTCTAGCACCTGCCGGTGATTATCATCATCAAAAAAATTGACTTGGGTACTTCGGGCTTCCCTTATAATGTCGATCTTTCGCCAAGCTACAGGAATTTCCATCTTGTTTAACTATATAAATGAAAAAAAAAAAAAAAAAAGTTCATCTCGCCTCTTTTCCTACACTGAACAACTACTTTGCTGCATTTGCATTACTCATAATACCAAGTCAATATTTACCTTTTCAACTAATAAGCCAAAAGCAGTCTCAACTTGGGCAAACATGCCATCAAATGCTACCAAAAGCATCTGGCCAGCTGACATTTTTGGTGTCTCATCAACTGAACCATTTCTTGGTTGGATTAATTCACCATATTGAGCATGAAGTACTCTACAGAGAAAAAACAGGAAGTTAAAACCCTCAGTAAAGAGCAATACATTTGGGGGAAGCACAAATGGTCAACAAGTCTCACAGCAGCATGCAGCCTAGAAAAAAAGTCTTTTGCATTAAGGAAGGAGTGTTACAATAAAATGGCATTTGGTGTTAATCACAATGTGAAGTCAATGGTTCCAATTCAGTATTAGCAATTATTCATGTGATTAAATTTTATGTAAACTTGAATTGTGACAATTTTAAAAAGAACTATAAAAAAACATTACAGCCTCACATTGCACACAGAATGTGAAATAATACAAACCCCCAATATTAAAACAAAAAAAGTCAAGAACCCCAAAATTCCTAAGCTGGTGGAACTAGCAAACACTGTCAAGTATGTTCATATTACTGTCACACAGTAGAGCCAACTATTGACCGTAAACTGAAATACCTGCCATTTATCACTATTGAGCTGACATGTTTGTGCTATAATAATTATGTTCATTTTTTTCTGCAGAGTAAAACAACTATAAAGAAACATGAGAAAACAGAAAAATTTTGAATGCAGGAGAACAGGAAACATTAAAGAATTATTATTTTTTCTGAAATAATGGCACTAAGATTAAGAAAAAACAAGTTTATGTTTTACATATATAATTCCTGCAGTTAATTTAAGAATGAAAAAATATTTGCTTCAAAAAAATTGGGGTGGTACAACTTAAATAAGATTGACCAGGTACAGATAATTACTGATGGTGGTAAGATGGGGGTTCATTATATTATTCTCTCAACTATCTTCTATCTTTGAATTTCCCTTTGGGAAGAAGTGTGATGGGACAATTTATTTCTATTCCCTCAATTATATTTTCTGAAATGAACATCAGAATGCCAAAGAATGAGGTTTTGAGTCACCAGGAATAAAGGGGCTTGGGGCTTAGCTATGGGTATAGTGCATGGCTAGAGATACTGCCCAATCTCTACAGATTCCAAAGTCTTATTGTTTTTCTGGATTTAAGAGCTAAGAAATACAGTATTCAATATCTCAAGCAAACCTATAAAATTTAAGCTAACTTACAAGTATTGTTCTGAATTGAGGTATATACTCCATTAGCTAAGTGAACTGGCTCAGATGCTTCCATGGAGTTCTAAGGGCTGGCTTAAAAAATTCACACTCCAGTTTGTGCTGTACGTGCAGGTATGGTGAAACTACAGCACTAAAAGGATATATGAAGGTATCCGATAAAAATGCATGGAAGCCCGGCCAGTGTGACTCAGAGGCCGAGCATCAACCTATGAACCAGGAGGTTGGGGTTCAATTCCCAGTCAGGGCACATGGCCAGGTTGCAGGCTCCATCCCCTATAAGGGGCGTGCAAGAGGCAGCTGATCAATGATTCTCTCTCATCACTGATGTTTCTATCTCTCTCTCCCCCCCCTCTGAAATCAATAAAAAAAATGTATTTTTAAAAAACGGCAAGGAACTACACACATGCACACACCCAAAAGTGAGTGCTTATGTTACTGGTGAAATCTTAGTTCTGTTGACTGTACCGGTGTCATATGCATGGTGTTACTATTGTACTATAGGCATGCAAGATGCTAATATTGGAGGAGGAGGGATGAAGCATGCACAAGATCTCCCTACCTACATTTTTTTTACAACTTCCTGTGAATCTGTAATTATCCTATATAATAAAGAGGTAATATGCAAATTGACCACCACACCCTCACAAGAGGGCTGCCTACGACCAGGCTGGCAGGGGGGTTAGTGAGGGATGACCAAACAACTGAACAGGCAGACTGCGTGGGGCAACCAGGCTGGCAGGGGGGTTAGTGAGGGACGACTAAGACTGAACAAGCAGGCTGCATGGGGCGACCAGGCTGGCAGGGGGGTTGAGGGATGACCAAACAACTGAACAGCAGGCTGCGTGGGGCAACCAGGCCGGCAGGAAGGGGCAGTTATGGGTGACCAGGCAGGCAGGCAGGTGAGCAATTAGGAGCCAGCGGTCCAGGATTGTGAGAGGGATGTCCAACTGCCGGTTTATGCCTGATCCCCAGGCCTAAATGGGCAGTCAGACACCCCGCAAGGGGTCCCGGATTGGAGAAGGTGCTGGCTGGGCTAAGGGGACCCCCATACCCCCGTACACAAAATGCGCACTGGGCTTCTAGTTTTCAAATAAAAGGTTTCTAAAATGACATGTATATAAGCATTAATAAGTAATTATATCTGCTCCAAAAATTAAAAGTAAACTTACAGAAAAATAAGAGCTCAAAATGTTTATCTGGCTTCCCCATCTATTTCAGAAGAAAACAGAGCACTTGCCTTGCAACATCGATGTAATGAGCATGTGTTTCTTCCTCAAGCCCCATAGCTGCATTTCTTAAATAGGCTTGAAGAGATTCAACTAGAGTCTGCAGGGGAACGCCATCAGTTGTCTGTTCAATAAGACTGTCCAGTTCCTGAAGCATACTTTCTAATGTGTATTCTCCTTTCATTAAACATCTCAATGCTTCTGGAAATATGATTTGCCGGAAATTTGAATTTAATTCCTATAAATATGTAAGAAATATAATTTAACATTTTCTGAGTTTAGGTGACACACTTAGAGACTTAATGCCATAATTTATGCACAAACTTGATGCAAACGTAATTAAGTTACAGATATAAACCTCACACTAATCTTTAAGTGACTGCTTAAGCAACACTAAAAGGGGAGGAAGTCAAATTGCTTTTCTGAAGTAAAGAGATGAGAAGTACAATGTTCAACATCTAAAACAAAATTCCAAAATTTAAGCTCATATAAGTATTCACCTGAAGTGAGGTGTATACTCCATTAGCTAAGTGAACTGCCTCGGATGCTTCCATGGGGTTTGGAATGTCTAAGTCCTGTGGCACCAGGTGGCACTGCTTCAGTAACTGAACCAGACAGGTGACGTTTCCGCTCATACTGCAGAGCTCCTCTAAGAACCAGGCTCCATCCCGAGAAGTCAGGTCGACCAGCTGCTCTCCAGCACTCGAAGCTGCACCTTCCATCATCAGGTTACGCCTAAACGTGATAAATATTTGTGTAGTGAAACTGACTTAGCTAAACTCACCCATAAATGAAGGTAACTCAAAATCTAAAAGGAAATAAGCAGCTCTAACACTGGGCAAGACTAATGAAAGTAAAAAAAAATACCTCAAGCTTGGGACTAAACAAAAGACTCATGAAATCTCAATATGCATCAGTGTGTCCAAGACAACAAAATAATCTCGACATGAGGTTAGCTACTCACCTTGTGAGGGTACAAAGGGCAGAAATAATAACACTTGCTAGACTTAAAGAACCTTCTTCTCCATTCTCATGAAGAAACACTTTAATGCAACGTTCAATTTCTTTCAACTGATCTTCACAAACGGGCACAGTGACAGCTTCCTGTTTCAAGCGTTCCACTTGTCTAATAAGTCTGCTGTTTATGTCTGCTGCGTACCGCTGCAGGGTCATTTCAGTGGCGGTGATGAACTGACACACTGTTGGGGGTGGTTGAGGAGCATACTGCATTTCATATCTATATAAAAATAGAAAGAGGTGCTTGTTATATAACCACTCCCTGCTTATAAACAAGTTTATGGTTTATAAAATACTATATATTGAATATTACATTTGATACTCAAACCTTGAAGAGTAGGAACCATTACTTCCATTTTACAGATAGAAAAAGTCTCAAGAGCCAAAGTAACATCCCAAGATGACTTATTGGTAAGTGACAGAATCAATGTTTGATTCAGCTCTCTTTACCCTGGTCACACCCCTCTTACACTGGGATACATTTTAATAAATTAGAAAGACCCACTGTCTTATAAGGGAAAACATGACCTCAAATCATCTTAAAATCAAGACAAAAGTGACTCCAGACAAATCCCATCTATCAACCTTTTCTTTCAGGAAAAATTAAATATTCTGCAATTAAATAATTGAACACTTTTTTCTAAACCCAACAAGTAGTAAAAAAATGAAGTGCTATAAACTTACTTCCTGTAGAGTTCTTGACAGCGCTCTATTGTGGTGTTGCAGATGAGCTCTTCCATCCAGGTCTTCCACTGTTCAATTCGATGTTTCTGAAATATGGCCTTTGGATACTGCAGCGCCACGGTGGCATAGTGATGCAGCTGTTCCAGGCAGCCTCGGAGCACTGAGCGCCTCTGCTGCAGCAGCGCGCCAACCTCTCCTTCCAGCTGCTCGCACTGGCTAATCAAGTGGGCCTGGCCAGCATTCTGCAGAAAGGCTGTGGCTGGTACATAGCTTGGAGGACCTTGAAGTAAAAGTAATTAATAATTGTGATGAAACCATTTCAAATCAGCGGTCACTACCAAGGGAGCACAAACCAGAACCCCACACATAAAGACACAATTACAAAACTCACATGCTCACATGTGTTATCTAAAAAAGTCAACTCATACCAAGGTCCATCTGTGTGCTTATCTCCTGAAGCAAACTTGCAAGTTGTGTAGCCTCTAAATTACTGAATGCAGCCTGATAGTGTGTTATCCACTGTTCAAACTCATTTAGCTTCACCTGGATTGCTTCTTGGACAGCCCTTTGCTGAGTCTGTAGTTGGGTGTGTTCAGAATACCTAATAGAAGGGGGAAAATGTTTAAATTATTTTCTGTTCTTTCTTCTATGTACTTCCATAACCCTGACTTTGCTCACACTTGGACTGCCTTATAAGCTCCTTTTCAATCTTGAGGGCACTGCTCAAATGTTGCTTACTTCTCTGGTTTATCCTGACCCCACAGTTCTGTCCAACTATACTCACATTTTAAGCAAAATTCTACCACACCAGCCAGGTTCTGTTCTGAGTTATTCAAAGGTTAAAAAAAGACTGATGTGCCTGGCCAGTGTGGCTCAGTGGTTGAGCATTGACCTATGAACCAGGAGGTCACAGTCCCTGGTTGCAGGCTACATCCCAGTAGGGGTCATGCAAGAGGCAGCCAATCAATGATTCTCTCTCATCATTGATATTTCTCTCTCTCCCTCTTCCTTTCCTCTCTGAAATCAATAATATGTGTGTGTGTGTGTGTGTGTGTGTGTGAATCTACACACACACACACACACACACGAGCCACGTGCAGTGTTTTGGAACTTGCATAAATCAACACTGAGCACCTGTTCTCTGCAAGGTGCATTCACTTAGATCACTCTAATTTAAGGCTTAAAAAACTCAGAGAAGTAGATGAAATCATTGCCAATGTATAAATGAATAAAGATTCAGATACAAAGTGTAGAGAAAAAAACCTAAACCCCAGGTTTTTCTGAAGCCCAGTTCAGTGTTCTAACCACTATGCCCACTTACCCTTAACTATTATTCAAACATTTAAAGTAAATATAATAAAGCAAAACAATTTAAGTGAATTCTTATTTATTAACACTTTGAAACTGCAACCTTGAAAAAGCTTTTGTCATTTGGGTGAGTTGCTGCAATAAGTCTAATTCAAGTTGACAGTATTTACACAAATATGCAAATTCTCCTTAAAGGCATATATTTAGAAATGAGTTCAACACTGTTTTAAACCTGTGCTGCAGAGTGTGAGAAGGATGATCCACTCCTTCAGCTCCTTCCAGAAACTCTATTTCTTCCAGCAGCTTGCCCTGCAGTTTTTCCACATCTGTCAATTGCTCTTGCAAGCTTAGGTATTCGTCTAAGCTGCTGTCCAGCTTGGGAAGCACAACCAGCATCTCATCCCTATTCTTAAACCAGTTCACCTGTGAAAGGTATTATGGTTAGGAAGATTCTTACGGGGTCAACTAAGAATCTAGAAGGATATCTTGGACAAATTATTCTATTTAAATTATTCTATTTAAATCTCAACAAAGCATCACCCATATTTCACAACAATAACAAAATTGTCCAAGTTCACAAAGTAAGACTAAATTCTACTATCCCATACAGTTACTGTCACATCACACAAAACAAGATGAGCATCACTGGCTACGAGGATATTAAAACCAAGACCAAAGGGAGGCTATCCAATTAAAGAACACTTAAAACAGGCATTGGCAAACACATTTCAACCTCTTTAAAAAGATATAATTTTTCACATCATTGTGTGTCTTTGTATGTATTTCCTAATAAAAAGACATCGAAGTGCCCTGTTTCACTGCCATTTCAATATTATACATTACAGTCTTGCAAAATTTTTTTTAGAAAAACAGTTTGACTCAAATTTTTAATGGATATGTTAACTCTATTAACAAAAAGATGACAATGACTTATCACTGGCTTCACCTTAATTTCAGCTACTCTGGAAGAAAAGAGGCTGCGGGTGATCTCCCGTTCCATCTCTCTCTTGCTCTGCTTGCTCTCGGCCTGCTGGCCACCTCCACCATAGACAGCACCGGCGAACCCAGCCTCACCCCCAGCTGTCCAGTCCACCAGAGGGTCATACACAAAGGCCTCCAGCAACGTCAGCAAAGTCTCTCTGCCGCGCCGCATTATGTGTAAAACCTGTTTTCAGAAGAGTTTAAGTTTTGCCATAAGTTTCCTCATGAAAATGTAGTTTTTCATGCCACATGATTTTTTAATTTAAGAGGTATAAGAAAAAACAACATACCTGCTCACATGAAAGCCTAAAAACACCTTCTACTCCAGTTACACCCAGTGCTGTTTCAATGTTCTGTGTCATCCGAAAAGGTACTTTCTCAGGAACGCGAAGGCTTTTACCTTGAAAAGACAAATCATGGTATTTTGTCCTTTCACCAAAAAATATTTGACCCTCATAGTAAATGTAAAGTCCAAGTTAAATTTACCTTTTTCAAAGCAAACATTGTAATCTATGTGAACAACCTCTCCAGTTGTCATGTCTATGAGAACATTATCCAAATGTCTATCTCCAAGGCCAATTATGTACCCGACCATAGACATGACTGCAGTAGATCTGGCATAAGACTAAAGAAGAAGGGGTGGGGAAATAAGAAAAATGAATTAGCAAATTTCCTTCCAACATGGACCAATGCTCTAAAATTCACAAAATTACATGATCCTACTCCTTTGTTTCTAAATAAATAGCTAGCACTCCTCAGGGCTGCTATGCATGGTCACAGAAGGCTCTGTACTGAGCAGCTGCACACAACACAATGGTCCTCATTGGTCCTGCTTAAGTGATATCAGAATGTTAGGGGAGCAGGCCTAAGCCAGCAGTTGGACATCCCCCGAGGGGTCCCACAGACTGGACTGAGGGCACTCCCACCCCCCCGCAGTGCACGAATGTCATGCACTGGGCCTCTAGTATCTTATAAGATTCAAATATAGGTCTCAAACTACTAAGTCTGGAGGGAAGCAGGGAGAAAGAGGAGGGTGAACCAGATAGACAGGACAAGACAGGAAGCAGGCAAAAGAATAAATACTGATTAAAATAAAAAAACAAAAACATACCTGTGTGACTCTCCACCATTCATCAGGTGTAGTGCAAGATGACCAAAGCTCTTTAGCGAGGAGATTTGGGGGGGTGGCTTCCATTAACTCTTCTAACACTGCCTTCATCACATGAAGAGGCCAATCCCGTCGGGACACATCCAGACTAAGTCCAACTGCTTTTAAAGCAGGGCCAATTTTACTGTAATAAAGTTCACTAGGACGGGGCACAATTCCAGGATTCTGAGGGGTTTGGTAGGAATCTTGGGCCTGTAAAAAAATTATTTTAAAAGAAAAGATCAACTTTATTTAAATAAAGGTAAAAGATTACTTTGAATGCAAAGTAGTATTTTTAAAACTCTTTTTTTCTGTGGCATTCTCCACCCACCCAAGAGAATCTCATGCACCAAAGAGCCAATTCTTCTGGACTATGCATATTTCTTACAATCTAATATCTTTCTCATAATTAGGTACTACACCTACTACTACTACTATTTTATTAAAGTTGGTCTACTGTTCTATTTTCTTCAAGTTCAAGTCAAGCTCAACATCCTATTTACATTCTTCTTTGTAACGTATAATTCTGTTTAGACTTTATCATTTATATACATATTTCATTTTCATCAGTATGACAATCAATAAAAAATTAACAGATATTTAGATAGCCCATCTCTGGTTCCCATCTCTAAGTTACCCTTCAATAATTGTTCTGCAGCCTCCTATGCCTACTTTATAGCTTGATTCCTTTCAAAATCTTGCTTCTTCCCATACCTACCAATCATGAGGTTGAGACTGTATAAAATCTATCTTTATATCCATAGCACTTAGTACTACTGTTCCTGGCATATACTAAGCAATAAGATTCTTAGCTAAAATATATTCTAAATAAAATTCCTAGTCTAAACAAAGTATAAATTTCACAGGTACAAAACAGTGACTAACTCTAAAGTTGTTTCTTACTTACTATTTAATTTAAAAGAACCTGGGTCAAAGCTATCTATTATTTACAAATTTAATTTAAAAGACCCTAGAAAACACTTAGAGTAAGCCTAACAAAAAGCACTTAAGATGTGAATTACCAAGTTACTAAGTATTAACCACACTACCATCCTCTCTCCCCATATTTGTCTAAAAGATTAACCCAATGTCATTATTTCTATTAAAACTTTATTTTTATAAAATGTCTCTCAAAAACACTTTCCTAGGTACCTCAAATCTGTTCCTTCTTTAACTTACAAACTTACAAAAATGCCCCAGTGCAGTAAAGCCTAGAAATATTTCACATATAACAGCAGCAACTAATATAGTTGTTTAGGCACATTCAAATAAAAGGAGACATATACTTGAATTTTTATCAACCTTTTGTGCTTGTAAGGCAGCTTCTCGTTGTTGCCATCGTTTGTAAAGACCAAACAAGGGTGTGGCTCCATCCACCCACTGGATCAGCCCTGACCGTGTTCCTAGTGGTGTTACAGAATAGTGCCGAGCGTGGAAACGAGGTGTTTCCTGGCGATTGATTGTAGCAAACATAGTATTCACGATAGACAGGAATTGCATTATTCTCTCATCCAGATGTAAATCCTCCAATCCTATGGAAACAGAATTAAAGCAGCTAGTGTAGGTGACCAAATGGGGTAAAGTACAATGGGACAGGGTGGAAATATATCACTTTTTTGTGTCCTTCTCAATTAGCAATAGCACTCAAGAAATGATAGCCAGCCCTGACCAGTTTGGCTCAGTGGCTAGAGCGTCGGCCTGTGGACTGAAGAGTCCCAGGTTTGATTCCGGTCAGGGGCATGTTCCTTGGTTGCGGGCACATCCCCAATAGGGGGTGCGCAGGAGGCAGCTGATGGATGTTTCTAACTCTCTATTCCTCTCTGTAAAAAATCAATAAAATATATTTTAAAAAAAGAAAAAAAAAAGATAGCCAAGGAGGCACACTGCAAGCTTTAGAGAACATTCAGTTTGGTCATAAGATATTAGATACTATCATTATTAGCTGTACCTCAGTTGTTCTGCTTATACAAATTCATAAGCAGAGAGAGTGGGAATGAAAAGTTTTACTCCTCAGCACCCAACTACTTCCATTCAAAATCACATAAGAGACAGGATACTCCTGGCTATTTATGACATAGAAATTCACCTGAAACAACTTTCTTCTACCACACATGCACAGAAAGCATTAATAATCAAACTAATACTCTTCTTTTAAATCTCACCTTTGAAAAGATAAGGATAGCTCTTCCCATCTGACCCCAGAAAGAGAAGTTTCTTTGGCTTGGTTTTGGTAGGTAAGATTGTGATGGTTCCGCCCACACTGTGGATTGTGACAGTGTCTCTGGCTGAGACTTCTCCAGGAAGAGCAATTTCAGTGTTAGTCATGGCAGCCAGCCATGGGCTGATTTCTTCAAGACGCAAGATGTAACTTGCACGTTTCTGTGCTCTCTGTTGCAAACTCAGCATTATCTACAAGATGGGAAAAACAAGATTAAATCATCATTATGACCCCTATTTTCTTCCACATTTAATCTGGCATAAAAGTAACCTTGAAATACCAATTCAAATACCTCTTGCTCTAGTTCCTACATTTAATTTGTTGTTATATAGTTGGGTATTCCTAGGAGGGAAAACACTGCTGTAATGGTATGCTCTAGGTGATTTTTACTTTGTTCAAACCCCTTCCTCCTCCAATCCAAATAAACAATGAAATCACAGCAGATGGAAGGAAACCACTGCTGTGATCACAAGGGCCTGTAGACTCATTCTCCACTGCTATGCTATGTCAATGCCAAATCAAATCAATTCAGTCCTTGCAATAGAATAAAAGATGTAGCCAGTGTTGGCTGTCAGATGGATACATCTTTAGGAAGCCACTTGAAAAGTTGGTAACAATTCAGAGCTCTGATCGCTTGAAATATGCAGAAATATACCGTAATCCCTTCTAATAAATGACAGGGAATGGGTCACATGAATAGTTGTGTCCCTACTTGTAGCTAACTCAATAATCTGCATCTGAATTAATGAACTGCAGGCTCTGCTTTCATGTAAAAAACTTTTAAAATCAATCCTTAGCATGTTATTGTTCATAAAAGAAAAAAGACAACTGGAAACTCTCAGGTGCCCACGGATAGGACAATGGATAAACTGTGGTATTTCCCCATAATAGATCAATATTCAGCTGCACACAAAACATGAATGAATCATGATGAAAAAAAAAAACAAAAGCCCTAAAGCTATTTCATCAATAATAGAAGTAGTAAGTATAGACACATATATGCCATATAATATCATTTAAATAAAGTTAAAACCAGGCAAAAACTAAACAATACACCATTTAGAAATGCATCAATAAACAAGAACTATTTTTTTAAAGTAGGAATCAATTAACTAAAAGTTCAGAACAGCCCAGCTGGTGTGGCACAATGGTTGAATGTTGAGCCATGAACTAAGAGGTCACGGTTCGATTTCCAGTCAGGGCACATGCCTGGGTTGCGAGCTCGATCCCCAGTAGGGGGCATGCAAGAGGCTGCCAATCAATGATTCTTATCACTGATGTTTCTTTCTCTCTCTGCCTCTCCCTTCCTCTCTGAAATGAATAAAAACATATTTTTTAAAAAATTCAGAATAGTGGCTGCATAGAGGAAGACAGAATTAGGGAGGGACATGTGAGACTTCTAAAAAGTTGTATTTCTTTAGCTAATTCTATGTTTTTAGCTGCACTACAGAAAAAAGGGAGACACAGGTATTCATTTTATTTCTTAAAACTACTCTTGTGAGACTTCAATCATAAAAAATTTTTTACTTATTTCATACATATACATACATCCCACTTGTTTTTAAAAAGCAATCCTCATGTCTCCTCCTGTGGGTTTCTTAGTTAACCCCTAGAGTGCTGGGGAGCGCGATCGCGCTCCTCCTGCCTTTCACCAAAAGTGCCGGGAGCGCTATCAAAGCTTCGAAATGGCATCCAATTCCAAGTCTGCTTTTATTAGTGATGATGATAATGCTAAATATGTCAATGTAGTAAAGGTTTCCTTAAGTTTTTAAATATATAACTTCATTTACTTGCGATTCATAATTTTTTTCCTAAACTGCTGTAAAATCAGTAAAAATGCCTTGGCAATTTTAGCATAGTTCCTAGGATATTGGTTGGCACTCAAATGGTTAATCTACTGAGAATGGTACAAAGAAGCAAGAAACCGCTATTGGAAAACAAGGACACAAGGTTTGGCTAGGCCACACAAAATAAGCTCCATCTTTCATGTTGGTGTTGTCTTGTTGCTTGTAGCTATTCCCTTTCAATTTAGCAGCTTGCATTTACTAAAATTAGATGCACGTTTTGTTTCTACCCTGTACCTTTTAATAGTTTTCTCACTACTAAAGTAAAGAAATTAGATAGAGACAATAAAGGTAAGCCACACAGAACGAAGGGACAAGAAAAAAAAAAACAAGAAAAAGCTACAAGGTGCCCTAGCCAGTTTAGCTCAGTGGATAGAGCGTCAGCCCGCGGACTGAAGGGTTCCAGGTTGGATTCCGGTCAAGAGCACAACTTAGGTTGTAGGTTCGATCCCCGCGCAAGAGGCAACCAATCGATGTCTCATTGTCTCTCCCCACTCCACTCTCTCTAAAAAGCAATGGGAAAAAATCCTTGGGTGAGGAGAGAAGGGAGGGGAGGGTGAGGAGAGAAGGGAGGGGAGGGAGGGAGGGGAGGAAAGGTGAGGAATAGGAAAGGGAAAGGGAAGGAAGAAGTGCTACAAGGTAATAAACAGGCTCCCCCAATTGACAGTGCTATTGCTGTAAAAGATAAAAACCAAAGAAAATATAGAACTAAGGGGATCAAAACTTAAAAGGATTCTCAAATATTTAAATAAACTAATCATCTCCAAATGGTCTACACAGAATTGATTTGAAAACAGTGACTTAGAAAAACTATACAGGTACAAGATTAAATTTCTTAATCTTCCATGAGAATACCGCAGGCAATCAATATTCAGCTCAAGGCCAGAGCCTTATCCTTGGCTAATCTTTTAGAGTAAATTCTTCCTTGGAGCGAACCTAGATGAAAGTCTGCCACCCTAGGCCCACTCAAAATGAAGAAAACACCTTTCTCTATATTTCTCATAAGTAACTGGTCACAGGTTGCTTTCCATGGGCTTACAAAATCTTCTCTGTGTTCCCAGTAAGAAAAGTCCCCTTATTTAAATTTTGAATCTCACATAGAGGACTTCCCATTTTAGAAACATTCTTGAGATTTTTCCGCACCTCTTTAAATGGAATCCAGCTGCTTCCAGGTTTTGCGGGGTTCGATGGCGTCTTCAGTTTTTCTAGGGCATTTTCAATTGCCTCACCATAGTTATCCTGAAACCACTTTTCATGAGGTGTTTCCGCAGGGGCCGCCGTGATGCTCCTTACATGCTCCAAAGCAAACACAATAGGCTTCATCAGAGCTGTGTGCTTCTCCCGCATGATGGCAATTTTCTCTTCTCTGACCAGGAAGAAACAGAGTTTGATACAAATAAGGAACAATTTAAATATATCAAGTTTAAGTAAACAGTACAAAAGAATAAGAAAAAATAAAGTATTAAAATATTAGCAAAGTGCTCAACAGATGTGGCTCAGTGGCTGAGCACTAACCCTGGAGCTAAGAGATCATGTTTCGATTCCCGATCAGGGAACAAGCCCAGGTTGTGGGTTCGATCCCCATTAGGGGGCTGTGCAGGAGGCAGCTGATTGATGTGTTCCTCTCCCATGGATGTTTCTATCCCGCTCCCCTTCTCTCTCTAAAAATCAATAAAAACATATTATATATATATATGCAAAGTAACGTCTTACATGACATTGTAACAAATCCAGCAGATAAACAAAAAAATTCAGCACATAAAAAAGGCAGCGTCCCTTTGCAACAATAGGTGCTAGGAAACTGGATACCCATTTGCAAAAGAACGAAGCTGAACCCTTATCCTACACTATATGCAAACAAAACAAAACCTCAAAATGAATCAATTACCTTAAGAGCTAAGACTTTTTTTTTGAGAGGTAATTAAGTTTGTTTGTTTATTTATTTATTTATTTTTATTAGAGCTAAGACTTTCAAAAGAAAACACAGGGAAAAGGCTTCTTGACACTGGACTCAACAATGACTTCTTGGATATGGCACAAAGCACAGGTAAGAAAAAAATAGGTAAACTGACTACATCAAAATTAAAAACTTATATGTACATCAGGTCTTGGCCAGGTAGCTCAGTTGGTTAGAGCATCATCCCAATAAGCCAAGGTTGCATGTTCAATCCTCAGACAGGGCACACACAAGAAGCAACTAATAAATGCATAAATAAGTGAAACAAATTGATGTTTCTCTCCCCCTTCCTCTCTTTTCTCTAAAAAATTTTTAAAAATGTAAAACAAAGAAAACATATACATATGTCAAAAGACATTACCAAGAGAGTGAAAAAATTATTATTTGCAAGTCATGTATCTGATGAGTGATTAATATCCAGAATATGCAGAGAGCTAATAAAATACAACAAACAATCTAATTAAAAAATGGGTACAGGATCTGAATAAGGCATTTAACCAAAGAATATATACATATAGTCAACAGACACATGAAAAGATGCTCAACATTGTTATTCATTGGGAAATGCAAATCAAAACCACAGTAAGATACCACTTCACACCCATTAGGATGGCTGTTATCAAAACCCAGCCAGCATGGCTCAGTGGCTGAGCACTGACCTATGAACCAGGAGGTCATAGTTCAATTCCCAGGTTGCAGGCTCCATCCCCAGTGTGTGCTGTGCAGGAGTCAGCCAATCAATGATTCTCTCCCATCACTGATGTTTCTCTCTCTCCTTCTCCCTCCCTCTCTGAAATCAATTAAATATCTATTTTTTTTAAAAGAATAAAAACCAAAAAGAAATAAGTACTGCCCAGGATACTGAGAAATTGGAATTCATGTGCACTTTTGGTAGAAATGTAAAATGATGCAGCCAAAGTGGAAAACAATTTGGCAATTCCTCAAAAAGTTAAACACAGAATTACCATATGACCCAGAAAATTCACTGAATTATATACAAAATAATTCAAAGTAGGGACTCAAACAGTTATCTGTACCCCAATGTCCATAGAAGCACTGTTTGTAAGAGCCAAAAGGTAGGAGGAGCAACTCAAGTGTCAACTGACAGATGAGTACATAAACAAAATGTGTCATATCCATACAATGAAAGTTTCAGCCATCAAAAGAAAAAAAATTCTGATATACACTACAACATGAATAAAACTTCAAAACATTATGCTAAATGAAATAACATAGACACACAAAAGGACAAACACTGTATGATTCCACTTATGTGAGGTACTCAGAGTAGTCAAATTCAGAGACAGAAAGTAGAAGAGCGATAACTAGGGGTTGGGGGCGGAGAGGAGGTACTGTTTAATGGGTACAGAGCTTCTGTTTGGGATGATGAGTAAGTTCTGGAAATGGGCAGTGGTGACGATTGTACAACACTATAAACGTACTTAATGCTACTGAATTGTACAGTTAAAACTGGTTAAAAGGGCAAAATTGTATGTTATGTATACTTTTAAAAAAAAGGCAAACTGAACTAACAAGCATAATAGAGACAGACTCATAGATAGAGAGCAGGCCGACAACTCTGGGGGCGGGTGGAGGGAGAGAGGAGACGTGGAGGGATTGAGCGAAAAAAGAAAAAAAGAACTCATGGACACGGACAAGGGGAGGAGGTGGGTGGTGGTGGAAGAGGGTATACAGGGTGATGGGGAAAAATTAAATTAAATTTTAAAATTTGTTTTAAATTAAAAAATTTTTTAAGAAAAAAGCAGCTTCATTTTTGGAGTGTATGTATGAAAACGTACTTGCGTAAGGTGTTGTTGTTCTGGACTCTCTTCACCTCATCTTCAAGCTGCTGGATTCGTCTCAGGACGTACATGTGTTGCTGTAATAGAACTCCCAACCAGAGCTCATCCCAGAGAACAGTGACCCTGCGCAGCTCAGCCACAAGCATCTGAACCTGCAGACACAGAACATGCAAACATGCTCATCTACAAGTCCGTAGACAGCACAGCTCTGCAAACACTGGAAACTGCAGGTTAAATATCTTTTGTTCATGATATAATCACAACCTTCACTAGTGATTCTGCTTATCAATGTATATTTGTAAAACCAATTTTAATTATTCTAAAAGCTTTGTTCTTCAAATATTTCCATGACAGTTTCTAATGGGTTTTGTTTATAGGTTGTGTTTTGGGGGAGAATGGTTATAATAAAAATTGATTTAAAACATGGGTTTTCTGTACCTGTAACACCATAGTTGGATTTGCAGAGGATAGCTTATCTACAATTTTGCTGTAGCAATCCTGCATCATGGCTTGGTCTTCATTTAATCCACTTTTGGGTTCATCTTTATTGCTCTCTTGAGAAGCAGGAGGGCTTCCTCCCTCACATTCAGAAACCAGCAATTCTTCTCCTTGAATATTACCAAGTAGGGTTGGAATTGAAGAGGAAAACTTATTTCCTATAACAAAATGGGAAAATAAGGTAGACTTTGGATGTTTCTCCCATGGGCATATGTCAAGTGAGGAAAAACAACTCCAGAGCACTCATTTAAATAACTGGCATTCTGTGCACTAAACTGACGAAACATCATGGATATTCTGCCTTTTTACAAACTGAGCTTTTATATTTATTAATATTTCAAGCTAACAGAAGATCAATGGGGGGAAAGTAAGAAATAAGTCTCAACAAATAAAGTGTTCTCCCAGCCAGAGTCTAGAACAGGGGTGGGCAAACTTTTTGACTCGAGGGCCACAATGGGTTCTTAAACTGGACCGGAGGGCCGGAACAAAAGCATGGATGGAGTGTTTGTGTGAACTAATATAAATTCAAAGTAAACATCATTACATAAAAGGGTATGGTCTTTTTTTTTTTTTTTTTTTTAGTTTTATTCATTTCAAACGGGCTGGATCCGGCCCGCAGGCCGTAGTTTGCTCACGGCTGGTCTAGAATGTGGTTTCAATCCTTATCCACCGGTTACTCAGCTCAGCAAACAATTTCCCATGCTCAGTGGGTTACTGTGAGACTGAAGATAATGTGTAAAGCATATGTCCTAGGGGCCAGCACAAAGCAGTTATTCTCTCAATAAATGGCAATTATTATTTTGCAAACTCCATCAACTCTGGAATATAAAGCTCAAAAAAATTTACCTAATAAACATTATTTGCAAAATAATTTATACTCAAATTAGCATTTTAATATTCCATACCTGAAGCCTGTGACTCGCTACTAAGCGATATGGTACCCACTATTGCAGGATACAATATGAGATGTGGGGAATCTTGAGCCACACGGATGAGAAGGTTACAGATACTCTGGCGCACATACACTTCAGGGTGGTTTAAGCGTGAGAAAAGCTGTGGAATAATTCCTTCAGGATAAGAAGAAAAAAACATTTTAAAGTTATTAAAAAGGGTCAACATAGTGGATGCAAACGGATAGAACCTAATGTGCCAGCATCACTTCTAATGGCCTCAATTTCTCCTTGTGATAACAAAGACCTGTACATAACTTCTTTTGGTTTTTTTTTTAATCCTCACCCAAGAATATTTTTTTCCATTGATTTTTAGAGAGAGTGGAAGGGAGGGGGAGAGACTGAGAAACATCAATGGTTGCCTCCCACACGCGCCTTGACTAGCACCAGGTATCAAGCCTGCAACCAAGGGACATGCCCTTGACCAGAATCAACCTTGAGTCCTCAGGCTGGTGCTCTAATCACTGAGCAGACCGGCTAGGGCTATACACAATAACTCTTGCTTTCCCAGTGTGGTTAGGGTACAGAGCTATAATCAAAATCTAGAGCAATTCAAAATTGTTCTAAGAAATATATTTTCTGTGAATGACTGTAAAAGAAGGCAGAGATAATTTTTACAAAGGGTATATGACATTATTTTTTCAATTATAGTTTACTACTTTCAATATTGTTTTTTATTAGTTTCAGGTATACAGCACAGTGGTTTAGATAATCATATACTCTACAAAGTATTCCTCCAGTATTTCCAGAACCCACCTGGCACCATACATAGTTACTGCAATATTACTGATACTGACTATACATCCCCGAGACTATTTTGTAACTACCAATTTGTACTTCTAAATCCCTTTATCTTTTACACCCAGGCCCCCGACACCGCTTCCCTCTGACAACCACTGGTCTGCTCTCTGTATCTATGTGCCTATTTCTATTTTATTCATTTACCTTGTTCTTTAGATTCCACAGAGCATATAAAATTTTTTGGAACTTAATTTTAACCACTCTCTCCAAAATTCATTTTGTATATAAAAAGCTTCTGCCTCTCAGCTTTCCATTCTTCTGAAAAGTGAGAGGGAAGTGGTCTAACAGCAGCTCAGGGTGTCATAAGAACTAATGTATCCATTCAGTAACACTGTAAATAATAGATATAAAGAAGGAACTTCTACTTTTTTATTGCCTTAGCTATCCTACCCAGAAATAATTTTTGCTGAGACATTTTTTAGACCATCACCTCTCCATGGAGCAGTAGGTGTTGTCTCCAAGCCATGTTCCAGATATTGCCTAAGCTCGCCTGCATGCTTCACGAGCAGCCTGAGCAATCGCAAGGTAGCCATCACGATCACATCATCAGTGCTCTGCTCTACTCTGTGACTTAAATGTAGCCTTGGATCATCTTCATCTAAAGGAATCTAGGGCAAAAGACAAAAGGAAGAAATAAGTAAGTCAGAATACTGTTTTTGTCTATTAGGAAAAAAATTTTGAAAAAATTTTGCTAAAAGAGAAGACTGTGTGACCTACCTGACCAGCATTGAGTTTAAGGAAAGTAAAATATGCACTGCAAGACAATTTGTATAGGCTGAAGATTCTATCCACAACTTTCCTCCACACTTTAATAACTCCTTCTGTTGCATTTTCATCAAGTTCTGACAGCCATGGGCAGCTTGATATTAACTGACGCCAGATAACATCAACCATGTCATCTTCCTCATTATCTTCACTTTCTGTTATCTGAAGTGTTATATCTTCATCCTAAATAAAAATTGGGCATAAAATGCTATTTATAATACAAATTGAAAAGGGAGAAAGGTACCTGATTTTCCTGTTAAATTGAAAATATTTTTCTCATTATGAAAGACCAAACTACTCCATATTTAGCATTATATAGGCTATATGTCAATATGCTTCTCCTTATGGTATATTAATGTAGCTAAGAAGATATAAGCATCTCTCAAAGATTAAAGACTGATTTTTAGACTTTAAATGTTCTAAGTTACAATATAGTATTCTGCCTGCAGAAAAGAAAACAATCTGTTCAAAAGGCTGAAGGTACACAGAATAAAGTCACAACAGACCTTACTCCCTGTAAGTACTGTGCACGCTCATAACACAGGCATTGGCAGACAATGATATATGCTAAAGCCTAGGCAGGAGTGGGGAATCTTTTTTCTGCCAATGGCTATTTGAATATTTATAACATCATTCTCGGGTCATACAAAATTATCAACTTAAAAATCAGCCTGCTATATTTGGTCAAACATTTAATTAACTCATCCCCAATGCCTTGGCAGGGCGAGACCAAATGATTTCGTGGGCCTTATGTGGCATGCAAGCCGGACATTCCCCACCACTGGTCTAGAGTAAGAACAGAATCAGTAAAATCCAGACTTTTAAAGTCTGCAACTAAATACTTAATAGTCATAACATAACTTTTGAGAGGGGAGAGAGGTAGATCCTACAGATAATCTAGTCCACTGGTTTTCAACTCTGACTATATATTAAAATCACCTAGTAAGCTTATTACACATGCACACATGTGCATACACATACTCCATCCAGAATATCTGGGGTGGGGCTCAGGCACCAGCATATTTTAAAAGCTGCCAAGCCTATGTTAAGACCCTAATTTCTGATCAGAACTGCATTTCAAGAGTAATCTACTTTACATAAAATGAATTTCACCCTTTTTAAACAGGACCCTAAGAAATTGACTTGATTTCTCATGAAATCAGAAAGCTATTAACTCACTTTCATCTTAAACACCAAAGATTTATTTGAAACAAAACAACACTGAATCAACTATATGTAATCAACCTCAAAACGAATGAATTAGAACAGTGACCTTGACACTATTTCCCCCAAACACTGTATCATGTTTCCTTGCCTGAATCCCTGCTGGCCGACACACAGCCTGACCAAGAATAGCATATATTCTCTCTTTTTCTTCTTCAGTTATAGTGTCTGGAAGCAGATTTTGAACTTCAGATTTTTCTCTAGGCAGCAGACGAACACCTTCTCCCTGACTATAAAAATAAACAAGTAATCGGTATTTCAGCTACTAAAACTTCACCATGTCAGCAGACATTTTAAACCTCTATTTTGCAATGCATTAAATAAATTACACATTTCAACATACATACCTGGCATTGTCAACAACCTTTCTGCCCCACCTATAAGCCCAACTAGCCAAGGCTGCCCAAGATTTGGCTACTTCAGGTGCCTGTACTGAAGATAGGTGATACAACTGTCCCAAAATGAAGTCAGGTTCTCCAACTCCAATATGTACTGTCATGAAGGAAAAAAAATAATGAAAGCAATCAGCAATGTTACATTCATAGATTCTTTTTTTTAACTCTAAAACCAGTAAGTTCCACAATACTGTAGTACATAATTTGATAAAGCATTTATTTGTATTTTTTTTAAAAGGCTAATATGTTGAGATGAATCACTCAGCTTCGCAAGTAAGCTTAAATTATAACCCTGTAGCCTGGATGGTATGGCTCAGTGGTTGAGCAATGACTTATGAACTAGGAGGTCACGGTTCAATTCTCAGTCAGGGCACATGCCTGGGTTGCAGGTTGCAGATTACAGGCTCGATCCCCAGTAGTAGGCAAGTAGGAGGCAGCTGATCAATGATTCTTTCTCATGATTGATGTTTCTATCTCCTCTCCCTTCCTCTCTTTGGAATCAATAAAAATACATTATTTTAAAAATCCCACCAAAATTATAACCCTGTAAAAAATGTTCATGTCTTTCATGATGCTGAACTTGAACACCTTAAACAGTTCAGGTGTCAGATATGTTGTAGAATGTCTTGCATTCTGGATTTGAATGGCTATTTTCTTATGATTAGATTCAGCTTAAACATTTTGGCAAATGAATATAAAAGTGATGAGTATACAATCTCATTCAGAGATTCATGAGGTGAATATCTTTTTCTGTAAGTAAAATTACGTTTATTTTTATAAATAAAAAAATTCATTATACAAACAACACTTTTAGCAGAATGTTAGCTGTCATTATCCACTTTAAATGAAGTATGAAGTGTCTGCAACAGTTAACGCAAATAGTTCCATCTCTCTAGAACCTTCATGTAACTTCTTTACATTCAACTTCCCCAAATTCTCAACACTATTTCAAGAATATAAGTGAGGTGAATACCTTTATTCCCAGTTTAAAAGTAAAAATATCGTCTGCTCTAGTGTCATTTGCCAGTATGAAGATTTATAAAGAAATATCCCTTATGAATATCAAGACCCTATAAAACACACATTATAAATATAATACTAATGTTAAGTAATTAACACATTTCGTACTGCTCAGGAATTTTCTCGTGTTTCGCGCGCCATCTGTTAAGGACCGCTCACGAGTGTTCTCGTTTTTCACGCCCATGGAAAAAGGAGCGAATCTAGATACTTATGTAAATTTTGTTTGGTCCCTCTTCATAGAGGAAAATGTTTTACGCAGTACCATACGTTAAAAAAGTACTAGGAACTTTAATTGTTTAATTGTTTTTGTAAATAAAATGTTATAATTATTGAAAAACAACACCTAAAGTGCATTATGACGATTTAAATAACGTGCAGTTTGCCCAAAAATGTGCGGTCCCTGGCGTATGTCTTAGAGATTTCTATGCGGTATGCAATGTGTTAAGATCCTAGGCTTTACAGCAAAAAAATGAAAGTACATTCTCATGTTCAGCAAAGAGGTTAATTACCTCCGAATCTATAAAAACTGGACAATGGTACCACTCAAATGTTGAATGAATTAACTATCCTATCTGTCTTGTACCTTTCTGTTACTAACACTACTGTCAGGATGTAAAACTTGAATCTTTCTGTAATTTCTGTGCTCCACCAGTCAAGGGGACCACAAACTACTATTTTATATCTTTTTTTACTTCTTCTTGTGTGACAAAAATTTTTAGTTATCTGGGGCAGAATCTGATTGCCAGCAAAAACATTTAAGTCCATAAAAGCACTGTGAATTGGGAAGGTGGGAAGTATGGCGGGGGGGGGGGGGCGGCGGCAGAGTTCAATGACTTCCATAGTGGCGTTAGATATTAAAGAAATGTGTTTTAGTTACTTCCAGGTAATATAATATATTAAATTTCCAGAGACACTTTTTGTGGCCAATTACAGTCAGCGTAACATTGTAAACTTTATTGATTTGAGAGAGGGAGGGAGGAAGATAGAGACAGAAAAATCCATCGGCTACCTCCTGCATACCTACTACTGGGGATCAAGCCCACAAACCGAGCATGTGCCCTGACCAGGAATCAAACTGGTAACCTCTTGGTTCATGGGTCAACCCTCAACCACCGAGCCACACAGGCTGGGCCACTAACACTGTAAACTTTAAAACAGGGGGCACAATAACTTTTAAAATTAAAATTTTAAAGCTAGTAAGAGAAAGAAATCCTACCTGTAGATTCACTCTCAATCCGAGGATACTCTTCATCCACTGTATTAACTGCTGACAGTTCTATTAGAGTGAGTATGTTTTTAGACAAAGTAGAAAGACCTGTGAAGTTCTGCTGTTGCTGAGCTCTGTAAACCTGTTTTAGCTGCCCTGAAATTTCTTTCCATTCTGCCTGGATCCATTTAGCCAGTGTCAGAATTGACTTGGCAACTGCATATTCAGCTTTGGCAGACTTGCAAAAAGATATGGCACAGGAACTCAACATTTCCATTGCGTGTGTTGACTGGCCTATAGAAAACCAAAAAACAAACCCTTAGAAGCCTTCAAAGCCAACAATGGACATTTTAGGGTAAATGAACTTTTAAAAACATGTAAATTCAGTGATAACTAATAATCTCTTAAAGGTCTTATTTTAATAACCAGTAACAAAATTACTTCTTTTAAAAGTACTAAATTATAGAGATAAGTCAATACACATAAATTCTTATTTAGGACTCAAATGTTCTGCAACAGCTGGGGGAAAAAAAAAATCAACATTTCTGCTACTATCTAACACTATACATAGTAGTTGTGTTAGATACCACTATCATAGTTCTGTATTTACCATAATTCATTTTTACTAACCTGCTGTATGTAGCAATTTGGTTTTTTCAATGTCAAGTTCAGGCCCCCATTTTTCATCCACTTGACCTTGAGTTGACAGTTTTTTAAAATGCTGGACTAAATCCTGTGCAGTGGTGGTCTTTCCCAGATGAACTTCACTACACTGTGCCAGCAGTCTTGTTGCAAGTGACACATTGCCCCGTTTTCTAGCAAATTTTGCTGCTGTTAGACCTAATTCCATGAGATGGCTTCTAATTGGAATTGTTTGTTCTGGAGAGAAGAAAACATTTTATTAGTCCCTGATTGGTCTAGTCCCAGATTTCACAGAAACACAACTAAAAAATTCTTCCCCAACTCTTGCCTTCATAAATAATAAAAACTCATTTTTTTTCACCTTCTTTAAATCTCTAGCAGTCAGCATAGTGCTTGGCATACAACAAACAATAAACACTTGTTGAAATTAACATATATAACAAAGTAGACAAAAGTAAAAACCATTCACTATAAGAAATTCAGTCTTTTAATTTCTGAAATTTTTAAGTAAAGAACCTAGGCCAAAGGGTGGGGAATGAGGGTAAGGCCAGACCATCCCTCCTTCCTGTATAAGTACCCCCTGCCATTCTCTCCTGGTTTATTCCTACCTTCCTGAAGAATCCATCTCCTCCATTACCCATCCATTCAAGTTGGTGTTCTTCAGGTCGGTCCTAAGGCATTTTCCCCTTCAGTCTACAAACTCTCCCTGAACAATAGTACCTGCTCCTGTGGCTTCAATTACCATACCAATGGTGATGACTCTTGAATCTTTATTCCTAGCCACACCAGACATCTCAGTTCCACCAGCTTACCAGCAGCTACAATCAGGTTTTTCAAAGGCATGTTAACTTAAGTCAAGTGAAATCCATTTTCCATCTTCAAACCTTTTACTTACTTCTCCTGTTTCCCTTTCTCAAGGAAAGGCACATGATCAACCTGACTACTTGAGCGGGTCCCAGCAGTCATCTTAGACTTTACTTTCTTTTATTTTTTTAAAAAATATATTTTATTCATTTTTTACAGAGAGGAAGGGAGAGAGATAGAGAGTTAGAAAGTTCGATGAGAGAGAAACATTGATCAGCTGCCTCCTGCACATCTCCTACTGGGGATGTGCCCACAACCCAGGTACATGCCCTTGACCGGAATCGAACCCGGGACCTTTCAGTCCGCAGGCTGACGCTCTATCCACTGAGCCAGACCGGTTTCGGCTTAGACTTTACTTTCAATCCTCCTATCACATCTGCTTTTTTCTGTCCCTAATGCCACTACCTTTGGTTACCTTTGGCAACAACTTCAGCCAAACTGGTACCTTTGCCCCCAGTCTTACCTTCTTCTAATCCATTCTCCAACCTGCAACTGAAGCAATCTTACACAGAGGAAGTCTGAACACTTCCCTTCCCTTTGATGGCCTCCCACTGCCCTTTTGACAAAGCCAAAACTCCTGAATGTGGCATTTAAGGCACTGAAGCTTTGCATTCCATAGCAATCTCAACCTCATCCAGCTTCATCTCTCCCCTTTCTCCCTTAGGCAAATTAGGTCGCCTAAGCATCTTTCATTAATACAACCATTGCATTACTGACTTTTTCTTTCCAATTTTAAAACATGGTCAATAAGAAAAGGACAGAAAAGGAGATATTTAGAGTCCTATTATATGCCATGCTCTGTGCAAGTGCTTTTATATACCTTGTCTCATCTCCTATAAATCCTTACAAAGAATCACATCAGTGGGGCAATCACCATCACCAAAAAAGAAAGTGACTCAGAAGTTGAATGACTTGCCCTAAGGTCCCCCAATTTACAAATGCTGGGCTAAAGATCCAAACCCAGGTCTCTATGACATTAAGGGTATGAGTCACACTTACCAATAATCACCCTGCAATGCAAGTGCATACCCCAGCATTAGCATAGTTGAAAGTTAACATTCAAATTTACTCAGTAATCCCAGCTGCCACATTTCCAACTAAAATTCAACAGATTTCTGGCAAGTTTTCCATTTTAGAGCAGTAAAAGTAAATTACTGTCATCCTTTTAACATGATAGACATTCTTTCTTAGAAATGACACATTTTTCTACCTATTCCTTTGGAGTGTTTAAATTTAACATTTACAGCGTATTATATCTGATAAAGAATCTATACCCCAAGCACATAAACAAGTTTTATGACTATTAGAAATTGACCAGATCTAAACACTTTACAGAATATAAGATATACAATGGCCACTATGCAAATAAAAAGATACTCAACATCACTAATCATCAGGAAAATGTAAATACCACAAGATACTACTATATACACACTCCAGGGACTAAAATTAAAGACTGACAACCCCAACAATGCAATGCCAGAGGAATGCAATATGTACAACCAGTTTATAAGAATCTGCCAAACTATTTTGAAAGTTAAACCATATGACCCAACAGCCCTACTCCTAGACATTTACAAGAAAAATAGAAATACATGTCCAACCAAAGACTTGTACATGAAATTCACAGCAGTTTGGTACATAGTAGCCCAATTTTTAGAACTCAAACATCCATTAAAGGGTCAACAGATAAACAAATTGTGGTATATCCATACAATGGATTCTACTCAACAACAGGAAGGACCACACTGATACTTGTACTATGCGTGACCCTTAAAAATAAAATACTAAGCAAGCAAGTCAGACACAAGAGAGCATATTTTATGATTCCATTTATATAAAACTTTAGTAAAGACAGGACTAGTCTATAGTGATAGAAAGCAAATCAGTGGTTGCCTGGGATGGGCAGATGGGAGAGATAACTGGAAAAGACATAAGGAAACCTTCTGGAGTAGATAAATGTTCTATATTTTTATTTTATTGGTGTTTACAAAGGTGAGGATGTGTTAAAAGTCAAAGAACTATACACTTATAATGTGTAAATTATATCTCAATAAATCTATTTCTTAAATAAACCTAGTTACCTTTTATTTTCTCCAACAACTGACTCTGGTACATGGTATATCTTAATGCCTGCATCCACGGCCTCACATCATGTTGTTTACATGAACGCAAAGCTTCACTGAAGAGTGGAATAAGACAGTCCTGCCAGGGAAAAACCAAAACTCCTTAATGGAAATAGGCTCCTTACATGTTTGTCGACTGAGTTTAGTTACACCCCCATAGGACAGCTACCTCAGCTCTACTTCAGGTTTATATACATTAAACTCTCCCCTTTCTTCACTGTATCTTCTAATCACAGGAGGAAAAGACACTCTAAGAGAAAACTGTTTTACCCCCCCCAAAAAATTGTTTTTCAGAATGTAAATCCAATTTATCAATATATTTATCAATAAAGTACACAATTTTTATAAAAAATAAACAGCATATTTACTGTAAAGCAGAGGCTAAATTACAGAAACATATAAAACTATTTCTTCATAAACACATTTCCAAAGATTATAATTCCTTTGGGAAGAGCTTATCTTTGACTAAACTTTAACCTATCTGGGAAAAGGAGGGAATGTCTTCATTTTAGTCAAATCTAAAATTTATATAATCTGCCCAAGGGAGATATGTTTATGTACACCAACACCTTGTCCAAAAAGAAAAAGGAAGAAAAAAATTAAGCAATTAGCATCCTTGAGATTATGTATCTTAGGTTCTTTGATCTGCCTTACACACTTCTCAAATGAAGATCTGCCTGAAAATGGCATTTCAGATTTCTGTATTTGCTAGCTTGTCCAAACAAAACCCACAAATGCTATTTTAAAAATTGAAAAATAGTCTTTGCTCTACACTAGTGCCTATTGATGATTGAAAGAATATCCTGGTAAAGATATACACACCTCTGTAGAAAGTCTGTTAGAAACTGTGTTCTCCAAAGCAAAAGAGCAATACAGTTGTAAGGTACTCAGAACTGGAAGAGATTGGGAGACTGTCAAAGTAGAAAGTCTCAGTGGTCCAATAGCTATACGTGAGGTTTGCTTCAAGTACTTTACCATGTTTCTGAAACAAAATATTTATTATTAATTAATTAATGAGATGTCTCAACTTGTAACCGCTAAAGGGTATAAAGCAGTTTGATAAGATGCTTCCATATTGGCATCCAAAGTGAGGAAAGGAAGAGGATCTGGCCTGCTCTTTAGTAAAATGATATAAGCAAGTCAGGGCATGTGCTTTTGGGGGGAGGGGGAGTTATATTTTATTTACTGTCAACTTCAGTGTATATTGGCAAGTGGCATTCACATATTATACAACTTCTACAACGAAATGAAGCTATCATGACTAGCACTGTAGTGCTCTGTTAACTGCCTCACCCCACCAGAGTACATACATTTGTTGTGAATTATCTATCTATATAAAAGCCTAAGCGACTGTCACAACCGAAACAACCAGACGACAGAAAAGGCTATGTGGGGCAACCAGGCCAGCAGGGGGGGTTAGTGAGGGGCGACCAGGCCAGCAAAGGGGGGGGTGGGGGGGGGCAGTGAGGGGCGATCAGGCAGGCAGGCAGGTGAGCAGTTAAGAGCCAGCAGTCCAGGATTCTGAGAGGGATCCCGGATTGGAGAGGGTGCAGGGTGGGCTGAAGGGACCTCCTCCCCCCCCCCCCCCCCCCCCGCGCACAAATTTTGTGCACCGGGCCTCTAGTACATATGTAATGCACATTCACCTCCTTAGGATTCAACTTACTCAGTGATAGACTGCCACTTCTGATCTTGTTCTAGATGGTTTAAAGCAGTTGCCAAACAAACAGAGCTTCTTAACAACTGAACTTCAATGGCTTTCTGGAGTTCCCTTGGATCTGGACTCAACATGTTAGGAAGCAGTTTTTTCATATCTACATAAGTTAAATAGATTCCATTAAAAGTTAATTCACTTTTAATGTACGAGTAATAAGATATTTTGACAGTGTTAAGAAATTATCAATTAATACCTCCTTTCATATTAGTTTCAAACAAGTAAATACTACTTCTGACACCTATGAAAATGATTCTTTATATAAAATTTTAATTTAGAACTCCCCCAAATGAGTTCATTTCAAGGCTTAGAAATCAGTAAGTCACTATTCATAGGGGTTAATCTAGAGCTACTTTGGCAAATCTTACTGAATCTAGCAAATCAATGCTACCACACAAATTACCCAATACTACAGTATACATTATACAAAATCTTTCAGTTGTGATAAAAAACTTAATTAATGAACCACATCAAGATGTCAAGCACAAAATATATTTAGCTTAAACACTACTCATACTTTTTCAAGAAAATTGGCTAGATAAATTTCAAAGTATTACTTTTTAAAGTTTGCTTAATTTTAAACTATTTATTTGCCAAATAAACAGAACAGTCCTAAATTAGCTGATTTGCATGGAACTCTGCCCCAAAGTTCATATACAATAACTTCCCAGATTTCCCAGTAAAATCCTAAAAGCCAAACATTTTGAGCAACTTGTGAATAAAAATTATCTCAAATACCTATTTTTTCTTTTGATCCTCCAGCAAGTAGATTGATATTTTCTCCTGGTAACAGTTCTAATTGCTCAGTACATTCAACGAATTCTCCAGACTCAAAACTGCTTAGTGATCTGTAATTAAAATATAGGTTAGCTTGTATTATGTATTACACCATATCCAGCCTGTGGAACCATTAAAAAAAATTTTTTTCTTAAAAAAGACAGCAAAATTACACAGCATTCTTTTGATGAAGCTCTTTCCACAGCAGCCACCATTTTATTTTTATTTTGAAGATGTGACTACCATCTTAATTAGCACTAAAATTGGACTGGCAAACCGGAAAGTCACAGCTTTAGATATTACGCAGTTTAGCATGCTCACCCCTCCATGTCGCCTTCCTCTTTTTGCATGCGCCTATTTTCATTGAGGCCCCTCCAACAAACTGGCAGTGGACTTCTGCAGGGCAACTTCAACATCTAGTTCTCCCCAAGCTATCACCAGACATCCTATAGGGCCTCACCCATCATCTAAAGCCCAAGACCCTGTAGGTCTTTATTATTTCGATCTTATATCCTAGTCCTGCCTTCATTCACTGCTGACACCCCTCCCCCGTCCCTCTCTACCTTTCCTACTGTGTTTCATTGAATCTGTTTTCTCTTCTTTTAAGGAAGTCTTCCTTTCCATCTCCTTCCCTTACCTGAAAATGGTGAACCCTCTGAAACTCCCTCCTATAGTCCTAGAGCATCAATGCCAAGATGAGAGGCCTCACCTTCTAGCTCCTCACTGCTACTTTCAGATCCCTGACCCTGTTCCCATTCCTATTGTAGCTGCTCTCTAACCAAGATGACTTAGTTTCTTAATCTCTTCTCTGTGAATCACTCATCTTTTCCTATCCCCCTCACTGTGTTGCTTCCCTTACATCTCAGCCTGAATCCAGCACTGTAAATAGACATCACTTGACTGTACCTGCTTCTACCTTAATAAGCCCCACGCCTGGCTCAATGTAATCACCAGCCTCTCAGGTGAGCCGTATGGCTGATGAACTGTCAAAACACTTACCCTTCTGCCACTACAGGGTCTAAGTCTTCTCCAGTGGTAAGTTCCGCCTGTGCCCACTATATTCTACAATACCCTCACACTTTCAGCTAATGACTGGCTCCTTAGGAAAATAAAAAAAAGAAGGAACAAAAACCACAGGCTTTAATTTCCTCTACCCTTACCCAACCTACCATCTACTCCCAAAACTATCTGTATCTAACTTTAACCTATTTCCTTGAGGCACAGAAAAGGTGGGGGGGGGGTGCGGCGGGGACGGGTTTCAGTTAATCCTTTAATCAACGTTCTTTACCCTTTTTCTTCAACCTCTGCTTTCTAGTGTCTCCTCCCCCTTTGCCTAAAAGAACACTTAATCTCACCAATCATATCCTATCTAATAAATCCTAATAATAGACAAACATGGTAATTGACCGTACATTCACTACGCCTCCCATTGGCTAATCAGCGTGATATGCAAATTAACCGCCAACAAAGATGGCGGCTAATTTGCATACCGCAGGCAGGGTGGGACAGCACCATCTAGCCTGCCCTGCCGCCATCCAGGCCTGCTATCTGTGACCCGGGGCAGCGGGTGTCCGTGTGTGACCCGACCCGGGGCAGCTGGGCGGTGCAGCAGCGATCGGCCAGCCCGCCCGGCCGCCATCCGGGCATCCTGTGTGTGACCCGCCCGGGGCGGCGCCCCAACCCCCGGATCGGCCCTGCCATGTGCGCGACCCGGGGCAGGCACTGAGGGATCAGGCCTGCCATCTGCCACCCGGGGAGCGGGCCTAAGCCAGCAGGTGGTTATCTCCCGAGGGGTCCCAGACTGTGAGAGGGCACAAGTGGGGCTAAGAGACACCCCCCCACCCCCTTCCCGTGCACAAATTTTTGTGCACCAGGCCTCTAGTATTTAAAATAAACACACAATATTCTACTTCAGCCACAGCTTCTTCCCCTAGACTTCAAGAAAAACTCACTACTGCTCTAGCCGGTTTGGCTCAGTGGATAGAGCATCGGCCCGCAGGCTAAAGGGTCCTGGTTTCAATTCAGGTCAAGGGCACGTACCTTGGTTGCAGGTTTCCCGGTCCTGGTCAGGGTGCATGCATGCAAAAGGCAACCAATTGATGTATCTCTCTCACATCAATATTTCTCTCTGTCTCTCCCTCACCTTTCTACTTTCTCTAAAAAGCAATGGAAAAATATCCTCGGGTGAGGATTAACAAAAAAAAGAAAGAAAGAAAAACTCAGTACCCAATTAACCTACCTAATGCTTTTCACTTTCAAATTTCTCCACCAACAGTGTTCAACCTGGCTGTTTCTCCTTCTCTCTCTATAAAGCTCTTCTTGCTTGCATCCTGGAGCTTCTGACAAGGCTGACTATTCCACTCTGGCTCTCATCTCCCACACTTCCTTTCTCAATGTCCTTGTGTTCTCTTCAATGGCTCCTTCCACATCCCTTAACAGATGCTCAAAAGTATTCTGAGCCCTCTTGGCACACTTTCATTTTTACTCATTCTTCTCCAGAGCTTTACCTGTGGTTGGTGGTTTATAAGGGCTCCAGAGTATAGAGTCATGCCTTAATTATTCCCTATATGCTCATGATCCCCACATCTCTTTCTAGCTTAGATTTTCCTCCTTAGTTCCAAATCCAGTTCTTAACTGCATACTTAATTTCATCTGCATGTTTCACAAACACTTTTCTTAAACATGCCTCACTGTTCTTCGTGCGTTCCTACTTCAATTAATAGTATGTTTTCTCCTCCCTCTACTTTTACAGCCACAAATTAATGGTCTATATGCTATCCTTGCCCCCACATCTCCTGTCTCTTTACAACACAGCAGAGTGAACCACTAACACAGATCATAACATGCCTTTCCTGTTCAAATTCCACCTACGATTTTTTTTAGCTTATTAGGGGTCAAAGTCCTTTTCACACTTATTTCTTTTTATTACTAATTTTTACTTGGTTCTTATTTGTTTTTATTAACCTTTCAAAAATGTATTTATAGCTCACATTTATGTCAATGTTTAGTATTAGAAGGGTTTTGGGTCTTGACTTAGAAGTTTGATGCTTTTGTGATAGGAACTTAACTTTTGTTTATATTAATCCTATATAATAAAAGCCTAATACGCTGTGTCTGGTCGTCCATTCAAACAATCAGTGTAATATGCTAATGATATACTAAGGCTACTCAACCCTCACTACGACGTGCAATGACCACCAGGGAGTAGACACTCCGACCGGTAGGTTAGCTTGCTGCTGGGGTCTGGCCAATCAGGACTGAGTGAGATGGGCCAGACATGCCCTGGAGCCCTCCCATGGTCCCTCCCCGGCTGGCCAACCTCCCACGTCCCTCCCAGCCCCGATCGTGCACCGGGCCTCTAGTTAGCCTATAATAAAATTAGTTTCCTTATATGTTATTTCACTTCACTTAAAAGTCAATTTCCAAGAACCTATCAATGATATCAGTGAGGATTTACTGTATTCATATCTAATTTAGAAACAATGCCATCAAATGTAATCCTTTCTAAAGCAGTGAAAAATTTATCTTTATAATAGTCCCTCCCTTATTCATGGTTTCACTTTTTTTTTCTTTTTTTAAAAAATATGTATTTTATTGATTTCAGAGAGGAAGGGAGAGGGAGAGACAGAAACACCAATGAGAGAGAATCATTGATTGGTTGCCTCCTCCACGCCCCCTACTGGGGATCGAGCCCGCAACCCAGGGATGTGCCTTTGACTGGAATCGAACCCAGGACACTTTAGTCTGCAGACCGACGCTCTATCCGCTGAGCCAAACCAGCTAGGGCACGGTTTCACTTACCCACGGTCAACAGTGATCCGAAAATGTTAAATGGAAAATTACAGAAATAAACTATTCATAAGTTTTAAATTGTGCACTGTTCTGAGCAGCATGATGAAATCTCACACCATCCCACTTGGGACGGGAATCATCTCTTTGTCCAGATATCCACATGTATACACTACCTGCCCATGTATACTTAGTAGCTATCTAAGTTATCAGTAGGTTATCAGATGAGAGACAGGAGTCATACCACATTCGCATAAGCTTTATTACAGTATATTATTATAACTGTTCTATTTGATTATTAGTTATTGTTGTTAAGCTCTTACTCTGCCTAATTTATCTTTATCATTGGTTATGTATGCATAGGAAAAAGTATATACAGGGTTTGGTAATATCTGCAGTTTCAGGCATTTACTGGGGGTCTTAGAAAGTATCCCCTATGGATAAGGTGGGAGGCGGGGGGACTACTCTATATTCAGTTTTATTTTAGAATAGGAATAGGCTGAGAATCATACCAAGTAACTGTTTCAACAATTATGAGTCTGTTTTCGCATAGCATGAATGCCCTCCTCACTTGAATAGGCTCTGAGAATCATACCAAATAACTGTTTCAACAATTATGAGTCTGTTTTCGCATAGCATGAATGCCCTCCTCACTTCTAATGTTGGTTTCTAACTATAGTCATTTTTAGAACGCAGCATTAGAGCTACAACCATCTTGCAATAGTAGATATGACCAATTTCAACATTTTTCTGCCACAGAGGAAGCCTTTAAAGTTACTGAAAATTTGTTTAATGGGGTTAAGTATCATAATTTACAACTGAAAAAAAACACCTTACTTTATATAGTTGAAATCCGCTTTTAGGTTGAGAGAAGTACTGCTGGTACTCTTTTTCAAGTCGTGGATAGCATTCTGCCATTCCTGTACAGCAGCCCAATCAGCAATTGAAATGTAGCACTCACATGCTTTATTTCCCAAATAATTTATAACCTCAGGGGAAGAGTCAGGTGGTTTGGACAACAAAGATTTCCTGGAGTCACCTGAGTGAAAGTATTTATAATACATATAGAGAGATCCAGAGCAGTTATGAATATATCAGAGTGCAGAAATTAAAAAGCATGCAGTAAGATCATCAGTATAAATTATTTGATGACTACTTTTATTTAAATGTTGAATACTCACCGTTTAGAGAATGTTTTGGGCTGGCGCTATTTCGCCCGGCATTGGCCAATGTAAGAACAGATTTGTCGAAACTGGAGATGCAGCAATCAACCCCTGTCATGGCACACAGATGCTCCTGGTACTCCACAGAGGCCTTTTCAAACCTTCAACGCAAATTGAGACAGCCTTATTTTTAAATTATCCACATATTCATTTCCATAAAAACTGGAAAGAATGAATCACTCAATAAAATGAGCTAGATAATTAGTTGATTATTTTGCGTGGGGCGTGCAAAAAATTAGATCTCTTCCTCCCAACAACTGAAAATAAATTACATTGTTAAATGTTGAAATAAAGATGGCAAAAAATAACAGAAAATATTTGGATAAATATCTGATCTCAATGTGTGCAAAGGCTAATAGAAAAATAAATACAAGAAAAGAATCCATAAAGTAACAGATCTAATGGCATAATAATCTGAAACTTCTGGGTATAAAAAAAACCCATCATAAACATTAAAAGCAAATTACAAGTCAAGAAATTAAATAGCATCAATAATCTTGGTGTATATTAAAATTTCACAGATCAATACAGAAAAAAATGAGAGGCCATGAAAACTTAATCTGGGTTTTCAAAAATCACAAATGATCAATATAGCACACAGAGATAAGTTTTACTATTAACCATTAATAAAGCAATGTAGCCAGGGCAGTGTGGGTCAGTGGTTGAGAGTCCACCCATGAACCAGGAGGTCACAGTTCGAGGGCACATGCCTGGGTTGTGGACTCGAATCCCAGTAGGGGGCATGCAGTGATTCTCTCTCATCACTGATGTCTCTCCCCCCTCCCCCCCAAAAAAATAAAGCAATGTAAAATAAAACAAATACTTTCAATGATGACGGTGACCGGGTTCTTATTTCTCAGTGACACTCAGTGTTCACAAAGGTGAAGATAAGGTATTCTCTACTGTTAGGGATTTAAATTGGAATAAACTTTCTGTAGGGTAACTTAGTAACAGTATGTATCATAGCCTTTCTTAGATCCATAGCCTTTCTTCTAGTAAATCAGCTTGTAGAAATGAATTCAAAGAAAATAACCACAACTATGAGCAAATAGCTAAATGCCAAGGTGTATTAAGAAAGTGTAGTAAAGCCCTAGCTGGTTTGGCTCAGTGGACAAAGCATCAGTCTGCGGACTGAAGGGTCCCGGGTTCGATTCCAGTCAAGGCACATGCCAGAGTTGCGGGCTCGATCCCCAGTAGGGGGCGTGCAGTAGGCAGCCAATCAATGATTCTTTCTCATCATTGATGTTTCCATCTCTCTCTCCTTCTCCCTTCCTCTCTGAAATCAATAAAAATATATTTTTTTAAAAAATGAAGGTGTAATAAAAAACAAACAACAGAAATGACCTTATTGCCCAACAACAGGGATGTTAAATTCGGGTATATTCACATATAAATATAACTGTGATGTTAAAAATCATATTGTAGAATATTTTAACATGGCAAAGTACTTTTTAAAATATTGCTCAGTGGAAAAAGCAAAACCATGTGGCCAGCAAAAACACTGCTATTTCTGTGTAAAGAGGGGAGAAAATGACATGAGAAGAAAAAAGAACAAAAAGGCATATACACAAGAACTATAGTTACCATTAGGAGATGGAATTATTTTTTTTTCCTACATTTTACAGATTTGATAAAACTTACATCAATGTACACAGATTATGGTACATTCTCATTTATCTAGAGAAATCAAATGAGTCTGAATGTTGAGTGTACAGGGCTAATAAGCAATTACTCTAGCCATAAAGGATAATTTGTACCAGACTGATGTGAAAGGTTATTAATTAAGGATCAAGTTCAAAAGTATTTATAAACCAAATAATTGGCAGATCTTGTTTTAAGAAAGAATTCTTATTAATTCACAAATAAGAAAGACACTTAAGTTTTGCTACTAAAGACTGACTGAAGATGTGTCCTAGTAAAATGATTTATAAGCAAGCTCCAACTGCTAAAATTGATCAAAGCTGTTTTAGCATTTAAATACAATGTTAGCCAGTAATACAAATGATTTAAACATAAAGAAATTCTATCACCCATTTCCTTCCTTCCAACTTACCTCCCTTCAGCCTGTTGGGCCACTGAGTTAATCCAAAGAAGATTTTTCCCAACAATGGAAGATGACCAGACAGCAATTCCCTGTATCGCTTCAGGACAATGAAGTTCACACAGTGCTTCTACCACCATCATGATGGTTACTTCCAATTCATTCCCCTGAAAATGGCACTCAGAAAAATTAAACTCAGACATCAATACCATTAAATTCAAAATCTCTTCTAAATTTACAACTACTGGTCATAATCAAAGCCTATTTAAGGTCAAATGTACTTAATTATTTTAACAACCATGATATTACAACATTTAGGGTATAATTCTTAAAATTTAATATATAATGTAGCTACAAAAGGTGACTGACAGAACCTTAATAGCACATGGGTGTTAATCTTTACAAAATAAAAGGTTCCCCAATATTTAAACTATGGCGTCTGTAGGAGTAACACATGAAGTAAATAAAAGCCAAATTAAATGTAAACATGAATTAAAAGATGATTAATTTCATGTCTCTGAATATTACCTGACTTACCTTCATTAGCAAACATTTGTTATATTTGGATACCCCTTATTGAGCCCACTTACAACCCAGCACTTTTCCCATACATTGCAACATTATTATTACATATACTTCTGCATACATTACAATTTACATATACTTTTCTATGCATTATACTATCATCATTATAACTTATAAAAATCATTTCTTCCATAGACAAATTTCTTAGAATTAATTAACTTTAATGTTCCAACCTTATGTATAAGTAATGCATATTTTGACATGTTCTAAGTCCAAAAATATGAATAAGTGACTTTGGAAGTTATTGCTTTTATGAAACATTAGATCAAAAACTTTGAAAATGAATAAAAGTTTTCATTTATTTTATCCATGGATTAAATAACAGCAAAGGAATTAAACCCAAGTTTTTCTATCCAACAGATTTAAAATTAACTCCAAACACACCACTTTACCTGAGATAGATTTGTCTTCATTTCTGAAAGCAAGTCAAAGCCATGTCTCACTGTCACAGCAGGCTGACCTGCCAACAATCCAACCCTCATGATGGAGAGTCGAATCCGAGTCAGCCAGTCTTGACAAGTTTGACGATTGGTATAGAAAAAAGTTCTAATGACCTTTATAATAAGAAGAAAATAGGTTCAAATTATAGGTTCAAATGTCTCAAACACACATACAACAAATATACAAGTCTACTGTGAAGTCAGCTCTACACACCACCACCAGGTTTGACCATGAAACTGCTACAGAGCAACACTTAGCCCACTGAAACCAACCTTGGGAGGGGATGTTAGTGCATTAGCACATCCCTCATATGCATTATACATTAACTTCTCCAAATTTTCCAAATACTGCAGAAGAAGAACAAGTCTAAGCTGGTTGCTACTGTGGCCTTCATCATTGTCTGCAGTTGTCCACTGACTAACATCTTGATCAGGATTTAATGTGTGAGCCGCAAGACTTCTAATGATACCTAAAAGCAAAGACAACATTCCATATTTAAAAGAAATCTTTAAAAAGTGCAGAAGTACTTGGAGATAATTTCACAAATTCACATTTATCAAGTTTCCTCTGTATAGCCATCATTTAAAAACAAAACTCTCAATATAAAAGAATTTTCATTTTTCGAGAAAAGTGTTTTCTCCATACAAATCCCTTAACTGTTTTTAAAAATATATTTTTATTGATTTCAGAGAGGAAGGGAGAGGGAGAGATAGAAACATCAATGATGAGAGAGAATCATTGATTGGCTGCTTCTTGTACATCCCCAACTGGGGATGGAACCCACAACCGGGGCATGTGCCCTTGACTGGAATCGAACCCGGGACTCTTCAGTCCACAGGCCGACACTAGCCACTGAGCCAAACCAGCCAGGGCAAATCTCTTAAATTTTTAAACAAAAACAGACAACCATGTTGTTGCCAACACAATTATTCAATGAAAGCTTATTCTAACAAAATTGTCTAAAAAATAAACTTAAAAGGAAAAATATCATACTCTCATATTTTTGTTTTAACAAAGACGAATGTCTTAATATAAGGCTTGAAAGTATTTACATCACAATGTTTGCCAAAGAACTAGTCAATTACCTTCAATTGTCTGGAAGGTATCTTGAGCTCTGCCCAGTGGGGTTCTCAACTTAGAAAGGACAGTGAACTGTGCTGCTTCCCAAATAGCCCACTGCCAAAGGACGGCATCTGTCTTTAGAAGATTTCGGGGAATTGTTGATTGGTCACGCTTATCCAGTCTCTGGCAGCTATAGAACAATCTTTCTAACCAGTTGTCCTTCCTGGGAAAAGTAGTTTCATATTTAACAGACAATGACAACTTCATTTTAATAATAATAAAAATTACAAGGGGAATGGAAGCAGGGAACTACAATTTTTCCTACTCCAAAAAGGCAAAAACTGCAAGTTTGAGAAGCATTATACCCCCACCTCTTATTCTGCAGAGGTCTGTTACAGTCAAAACAGGATGGAGGTATGGTATGGATGGATGATTAGGGTAAAAGGCTCAAAGACAACCTGGCTATCAGGCTAAAACATTCACTCCAACTAAGCATCTCCAGAATGTCTATCCCCCCAGACCCTGCTCAAAGCACTGATGACAAGTTTAGATCAGTTAACTGTCAACCACATTTCATCTCTCAATTTCAAAGGCCTTTGTCTTTATCCAGATCAGGGGTCCTCAAACTTTTTAAACAGGGGGCCAGTTCACTGTCCCTCAGACCGTTGGAGGTCCGGACTATAGTTTTAAAAAAAACTATGAACAAATTCCTATGCACACTGCACATATCTTATTTTGAAGTAAAAAAACAAAACGGGAACAAATACAATATTTGTATTTGCATGTGGCCCGCAGGCCATAATTTGAGGACCCCAGATCCAGATGCTAATTTCAAAGCAATGGTTCCTACTGAAAACTAAAATAATCCATTTTATAATATCATTTTCTATACCACTCCTGACATTTTCTCCTTAAAAGTAGGCGTAGGGCCAAGATATTCAAGTATATGTTACTTTCCCCAGTTAAAGAGTCAAAGAAATATCTCACCCTGTTCTATGAGAGTTCCCATATAAAATAAAACTAATAACATCAGAGAAATCTTGCGGGTGGAATGTATTACTCGGTGCTTTACTCATGTGACTTCTCAATGCTAAAGAAATTTCTTGAATTTCGGTGTGATTGTTATTGCTGTAGACAGAAAATAAAGTCACTGTCATGAAAAATGTTTAGTTAAAAGGTTAGTACATACTATAAATGGGCCATTTCTTTGATAACTAAATTTGGAAGTAAAAAAATAAAATTGAGGCTTTAAAACACAAAATGCTACTACAACTATTAAATTTCTGGCTCTTAAACATCCCAAATTAACTTGATCAAAACAATAAACGATCGCAGTTTAGTTTTTTTCAAGTAACTGAAATACTAAGAAACACATTTTGGCACTACATGAATTACTCTACACTAATTATCATGAGCTTATCTCTCTTCAATCACTGAGAAGGGCCATACAAGATATGACATTAATTCAATAATAGGTGACTTATCTTTTCCTAAACTATGTTAGGCAGTAAAAACATAGTGGAATGTCTTTGCCCCAACAAAACTGTTATACCTCAGGACAACATCTAAAGGAATTGACTTCAACAGCTTTCCAAATGCTTGTCGAATGCGAGTCCCACTGTGGACTAGCTGAACACGGCAAACATCAACACACCTATGAAAAAATGAAACAGATGATACAGGTGTGGCAATATTTCCAAGTTATTAGGGCTAGGGTCAAAAGATAGGATCTTTAGTCCATACCTCTGTAAAAGATCATCCGGCAAAGAAGAGGACAATGCGTGGAGACTGCTGCATGCTTGCAGACAGATATTCACATCTTCGACAAGAGCTATTAAAAATTAAAAGATAGTTATTTTCAGCTTGCCAAAAGAATTTCTATGCCAGCATATCATAATTTTCTGACATTCAACAAACAGTGAGGGCCTACTATGGAGTAGGCTCTGCCCCTGCCTAGAATTCTCACTGGCACTAACGTTTGAGAAAATGATAGTTCCAACAAAATCCACTTACTAGTAAAGTGGCTAGTCTTTACCCAAATCTTTCTCTGAGGGAAATTTCAAAAGTTCATGAAACATATAACATCACATAAGTTTTAAAATGTGACAACTACTTAAACACCTAAAATTACTTATTTTTGACATATTAAGAATGAAGAAAAAAAAACATATTATACATCGCTCACTAAAATGGGGATTATACATTTCAGGACATGGAAGTATTAAATGACTATCTTTCTCCCATTACCAATGATCCCTTGTTAAATGTTAACAAAATTAAAATAAGCACAGAAACTTACTGTTGGCTAAAAGGCCTTTGCAAAATTTATGGAAAGATGGAAGAGAGAATAAAGGTGCATATGTTTCAGACTTCTTCATTAAAACAGCCACTTCCAAAGCCCAAGTCATTAACAGTTTCCTGAAATACAAAATATACAGTGATATTACATTACAAAAGATAAAATCAATGTTAAATATCTCCTCTTCTTGCATTAGTTTTGTTTGTTTTTTTAAATATCTCAAGCAATAGGAAACGAAAGTTAAAACTTTAGAAATCCCTTTGTCAAAAATTGCATGCCTTTAAAAAATCTATATATTTATCCATAAAATATTGGGGTTTACATAATTCTTTTGAAAAAGAATAAGAAATCCCAGATTAAACAATAATACCAAATTTTAAAGTGCCTCAATAATGAAGAAGTTGCTCTACCCCAACTCAAAAATTTTCATTCCTTACTCTCAAATCATGAAGTCAAATTAATAAAAAGTGCCCTAGCTGGTTTGGCTCAAGTGGATAGAGCGCCGGCCTGCGGACTGAAGGGTCCTGGGTTCGGTTCCCGGTCAGGGCACATGCCCAGGTTGCAGGCTTAATCCCCTGTAGGGGGCGTGCAGAAGGCAGCCCATCAATGATTCTCTGTCATCATTGATGTTTCTCTCTTTCCCCCTCTCTGAAATTCATAAGAATATATTTTTAAAAAATTAGTAAAAAGTTAGGAAGTGTTAACATAAAATATTACTCGGTTACCTTGTGTCCTGGTTAAGATTATCTTTCTTAAGCAATATTCCCAGGAGATTTAATATAATTGAGAAATGTTTCTTTGTAGCTGTAGTTACAGTACTAATCACGGCTCCATCAAACAAAGACGGGGATGACGAACTAAGACTACTAGATATAAAGTGATCGTGCCTGGAAGACAAAGTTCGGATCATCTTTCCATCTCTAAATTTTTTTTTAAACAAGCAATTCCAAAGTTAAATCAGCACATATTTTTTTAAAACTGTACTTTAAAGGGCCTATCTAGCCCTTTAAAAATTTTTTCTTCTTAAGAATATTTGTACATACAGTACCTGGTACAATGAGAATACAAAGTGTAAAGCACTGCATACTGAATGGCAGGGAAGTGAACAGCCAGGTCATCGTGCACAATCATCAGATTCTTACTCAGGAGTGCAAAGACAGTTGGAGACAGCGCCCACATCTGATGATGTACAAAAGAAAGTGTTTGACTCATCCAATACGTGTACCAAGGTAAATATGTCTATACATATTATAAAATTAAAATGACATTTAAATTTGGAAACAATCTAATACACTGAACAAGGGGTTAGCAAACACCTTTTGTGAAGATAAGAGAGTAAACATCTTAGACTCTGGGGCCATATGACACTTCTATTGCAATGTCCAACCCTTCAATTTTGCCAATGGAGTAAGAAGACATACATAGACAAAACAAATGAGTGGCTGTGTTTCAATAGAACTTTCTTTACAAAAACAGGTGTTTGGTGATAGCTGCATTCTGTGAACATACTATAATTCATTGACTTGAAATTTTAAATGGGAATTGTATGGTATGTAAATTATACTTCAATAAAGATTTTTTTTACAAAGAGGAAACAATTGGCCCATGGGCTGTAGTTTACTGATCCTGGCCTAAACAAAGCCCTCTGTACCCTTTACTGTAATACATTGGATTTCCTCAATTTTTCATATATTGCAAATGGCAAAATGCCCTGTCCACTGAGAAAAAACATACTGCCACCCTAAGCGTTTTACATGCTAAAATGCTCCATTCCACCTGACTGCTCTATCCCCTTCTCCTTGTTCCCAGAGAGCAGGACATAAACCTCCTCAAATCTGTATACAATGTGAATTACACAACAAATTTTTAAAGTGTAAAGAAAGGAAGAGTCTACTGCAGCCTTCCAACATAAGCCATAACTGGCAGTGAGGGAAGGAATAGCTATGGAAGGATAGAGATGAGGCAATATGACCTAACAATATGAACAGCATGCAAGTATAAACATCCAAATCTTGATTTTTTCCCTCCCTTCTCTTAGAAAGCATAATCTTAGTTATATGCCATTACTCTTTATTAGAAATAATGTTTTTCAATCCTGCAACGTCCACTAGAAAAAAATATATAAACTGTAGCAATAATTACAAAGAAAAAACAGGGGGTCACTTCACATTACTAAAAGGAAAGAAACTGTTATTCTTTCTCCAAAGAAATCATATATATTCCTAAAAAGTGGGCAGTCAAAAAGTGAGGCCATATGTAAGCATTGATTTTAGTAAAGAGGAGAAAAGTACCAGGGGAGGAAAGGGCTGCACACAAAAGAACTATATAAATTTGAGCTGTGGAAAATGTTGACAACTTTTCTCTAAGCATGTTAAAGTAAATGGGAGAAATTCATTAAAAAAGTTTTCTATGAAATATAACAGAGTCAGCCTGGTGGTCAAATCCCTCTAGTATTAACTACAACAATCAGGGCTTAACTACAACAAGACTGCGCACAAAGACCACTAGGGGGTGTACCAAGAGAGCGTAAAAAATGCGGAGACAAAGAAACAGGACAAAACTATCAAGGGAGGATATTGAGTTCAGAACCACACTTTTGAGGTCTCTCAAGAGGCTTCTAGAGTCTGTCGATAAACTTGATGAGATGTACAGGAAATCTAATGAGACCCTCGATGGTGTGATAAAGGACCATCTAGAAAGTAAGCATACACTGACTGAAATAAAGAATATTATACAGACTCCCAACAGCAGACCAGAGGAGGGCAAGAATCAAGTCAAAGATTTGAAATGCGAAGAAGCGAGAAACACCCAACCAGAAAAGCAAAATGAAAAAAGAACCCAAAAATACGAAGATAGTGTAAGGAGCCTCTGGGACAGCTTCAAACGTACCAACATCAGAATTATAGGGGTACCAGAAGATGAGAGAGAGCAAGATATTGAAAACCTATTTGAAGAAATAATGACAGAAAACTTCCCCCACCTGGTGAAAGAAATAGACTTACAGGCCCAGGAAGCGCACAGAACCCCAAACAAAAGGAATCCAAAGAGGACCACACCAAGACACATCATCATTAAAATGCCAAGAGCAAAAGACAAAGAGAGAATCTTAAAAGCAGCAAGAGAAAGAAACTCAGTTACCTACAAGGGAATACCCATACGACTGTCAGCTGATTTCTCAACAGAAACTTTGCAGGCCAGAAGGGAGTGGCAAGAAATATTCAAAGTGATGAATAGCAAGAACCTACAACCAAGATTACTTTATCCAGCAAAGCTATCATTCAGAATTGAAGGTCAGATAAAGAGCTTCACAGATAAGGAAAAGCTAAAGGAGTTCATCACCACTAAACCAGTATTATACGAAATGCTGAAAGGTATCCTTTAAGAAGAGGAAGAAGAAAAAGGTAAAGATACAAATAGTGAACAACAAACATGCATCTATCAACAAGTGAATCTAAGAATCAAGTGAATAAATAATCTGATGTACAGAATGAACTGGTGATTATAATGAATCAGGGACATAGAAAGGGAATGGACAGACTATTCTTGGGGGGGAAAGGGGAATGGGAGATGCGGGAAGAGACTGGACAAAAATCGTGCACCTATGGATGAGGACAGTGGGTGGGGAGTGAGGGCGGAGGGTGGGGCGGGAACTGGGAGGAGGGGAGTTATGGGGGGGGGGGGAAGAGGAACAAATGTAATCTGAACAATAAAGATTTAAAAAAATAATTAAAAAAAAAAGAAATATAACAAATATTTTAGAAATCTTATCAAGAAGTTGTCAAGGAAAGGAAGGAGAGAGCGCTAAACATATGGCAAGAAAATATTCCTGTTAATTTAAATTATTCAGGCACGTTCTAAATATGGCCATTTGTTCCATAGGGATTCTGTAGATGCATTGACATGACAGTAAATGAAATTCATAAATAGGCAATGAGAAGAGAATTCAATGTAGATAAACAAAGTGATTACAAGTAGAGACTCACCCCAATCAGTGAATTTTTGGCATTTCCAATTGTAGTCAGGGCACTGAGGTCAAATATAACTACAAATTTTGCATTGTCTACATTGAATACATGATTCTTAAAAGCCTCGTGCTTTATTTCAGAGCAGGCATCAGGAAGTTGTAGACTATGTAGCAGATTGTTTAGGGCACAAGTCATTTCTCCCAAAATTAATTTATAGGCAGTCTCCAAAACAGGAATATTCTTCAGGCTGAGCACTGCTTGATAAACAGCATGGGCTGCAGCAACAACCTGAAAAAGAGAATTCAGGAAAGTAACAATTCAACGGAAAACAAATCTTCTATAATTATATAGAAAATAAATTACTATCCACACATGGTGATGATGCAAATCAATTTAAGATTGGAAAATTTACTATACAGAACACTAAAAGATCTTAATTTCAAAAAAAAACCCAACCTTTTGGGAACCTACACACTTCAGTAGGTTTCTTTGTAATAAGTCTTTACTATATAGAAAGGAAATTCTAAATTAAAACTGGCCATATGAAATTTCTTAAAAGGACATTTTAAAAAAAACAGCCAGTGTCAAAGCACATATACAAACAGAATTTATTAAGATTGGTTTCACTACATCAACTTAGAAAGTCTATAGTGGTTTAGATATGGAGTCAGTTGAGAAAGTAATAATGAAGTTTTATGTATAATATACACAATAGTTCTCAACAAATTTAATAAAAACTAACGAAAATCTAAAAAAAATATCTGGCAATCATTCATCAAGGTATATAGCACTATAATCTACAAATACCAAGTTAAAACAATCATTATAATCACTATATTTTAAATCAAATATTTATCAATTCATTTATATAGCTTATAAACAAGATTAACCAAACTCTTTAATGACCTAAATTAAAAAGAGTAATTATGAATGTATTACTTACCTCTTTTTCTTTATGATAACGCAAAAACAGTAGTTTTGATGATGGTACAAACAATTTTTCTACAAATGATGATGGTAGTTTTGTATTTATCTGTTCAACAATCTAAGTGAATAAAATAAAAAGAAACGAGCTATCAAGTCACAAAATGACACTGAGGAGCCTTAAATGCATACTGTTAAATGAAAGGAGCCAATCTGAAAAGGTTATATAGTATACGATTCCAACTCTGTAGAAGACAAAACCCTGGAGACAGTAAAAATGTCAGTGGTTGTTGGGGTCTTAAGAGGAAGGAAGAAGAGAGGAGTAGGTGGAGCACATGGGATTTTTTAGAGCAGTGAAACTATTCTATATGATATTATAATGGTAAATATATGGCACTATACATTTGTCAAAACCCACAGAATGTAGAGTGAACCCTAAACTATAAAATTTAGTTAGTAAATTTTCTGTAAACCAAGAACTGCTCTGAAAAACAATCCATTTATTAAAAAAATAAAACAAAATACTATATAATATATCTATATCTATCTATGCTATACATTTTTTAAAATATATTTTTATTGATTTCAGAGAGGAAGGGAGAGGGAGAGATAGATAGAAACATCAATGAAAGAATCACTGATTAGCTGCCTCCTGCACACCCGCTACTGGGGATTGAGCCCACAACCCGGGCATAAGCCCTGAACGGGAATCAAACCATAACTTCCTGGTTCATGCTCAACCACTGAGCAGCACCAGCCAGGCAATGGTATACATTAAAAAAAAAAAATTTTTTTTTTAATTAATTTTAAGAGAGAGAGGAAGGGTGAGAGGGAACGGGAATCAAACCATAACTTCCTGGTTCATAACTTAATGCTCAACCACTGAGCAACACCAGCCAGGCAATGGTATACATTTAAAAAAAAAAATTTTTTTTTTAAATTAATTTTAAAAGAGAGAGGAAGGGTGAGAGGGAAAGAGAAACATTGATGGGCTGCCTCCTGCACGTCCCTCTACTGGGGATGGAGGCCACACCCAGGCCTGTGCCCTGACCAGGAATCGAACCAACGACCTCTTGGTTCATGGGCCAATGCTCAACCAACTGAGCCATACCAGCCAAGGCTATATCTCCTATACTTTAAATTTCAATTTTAACACTAAGACTTTTTTTTTTACACTGGCAAAGGGAAGTGCAGCTGTGGTAGACGTGTTCAGCAGAATATCATCTAGAATTTGCTTTTAAAATAATCCAGTTGGGGATGGAGGGACAGCAAGGAAGAGGGGGAAGTCAAAGGCCTAGATGAAACTAGATGGGCCATGTGTTTCTAAATGACAGAAAGTAAGTAGTGTTAAGTATGTAGAAATTCATTATACTATCAATAATAAAAGGTTAAGGGGAATATTTATGGTTAACAATTAAAACTATAAGTTTCATATGGGAAACAAAACATACCAAGGTCAGCCCTAACCGGTTTGGCTCAGTGGATAGAGCGTCAGCCTGCGGACTCAAGGGTCCCAGGTTCGATTCCAGTCAAGGGCATGTACCTTGGTTGCGGGCATATCCCCAGTAGAGAGTGTGCAGGAGGCAGCTGATCAATGTTTCTCTCTCATCGATGTTTCTAACTCTCTATCCCTCTTCCTTCCTCTCTGTAAAAAATCAATAAAATATATTTAAAAGAAAAAAAACAAACATACCAAGGTCTTTCAAAATAGCTATCAAGTACCTTCTCTTATACAGTATTTATCAAGATATTATAGTCTCATGTGAAGGATGATGTTTCATAAAGAAAAAAAAAGAAAAAGAAATATATCTACACTGAGATGAGCCATCAAACACCAAAAGTAAATAGATACTAGGGGCAAAAGCAAACTAGATTATATAAATAAGACTAATGTGCTCAAAAAAGCCCCCAAACAACCATATCAATTTAAATTTTAGGGCCTGAATACACCAAAACATATTAAAAAGCAACAAAAAAGAATTCACATACCAATGTGAGTAAATTCAAGACTGAGATGATATAATCTGTGCCACAAGTCTGGCAATTCTCCAGTTGATCTAATCCATATGTAATGACCATGTCACAATGTATAGTCATGCTAGGATCCAAGCTGCCGAGCAAAACACCAACACACTCATTAGCAGCTGTCAACACAGCCTCAGAAAAAAACACTTGATTTGCAGCCGTCACACATCTCATTACTCTGTATAGAACCTGCAAATGGGGAAAACAAGCAGCTTTTTAAAAAAATTCACATGCTTCCACAGAGCAAAAAAATATTTTCTATTTAATGCAGTTTCAACTGAAAATTAACTGCCTGCCTTGTCAGTAGTCTCTTAATATTCTAGTTCTCAGAGATTGAATAATAAGGGTATCTTTAGTACAATACACAAACGTGATCTTGCCCAAAAAATTCTAAAGTACTATTGTGACAGGAAATGGAATTTGCCGTCCTCTATTTCTATTCTACCAGCTTCCTATGCACCCAATATCACTAAATGGCTGAAGTTCAGAATCTTTATAATCATGAAAACACACCAGAACTTAGAACAGTAACAGTATTAACAGCATTGGAATAATCTGCCATGAGAATAACTTTTTGTAATTTAGCATCTGGGCTTTGGACAATCAATACCAATACTTAGAACTCCTAGAGACCCTTTTAAAACTAAACATTTAAGTCACCTTTAGCTTATGAAAGTTCATGTATTGATGGTCTCTTTTGAAAGAAAAGTATTCTCATTCATAGCATATGATACCTACATGAAGATTATGAAAATCGTGTAGTTTCCAATCAAAACCCCCACTATAGTAATCAATATTAATGTACTAAATTTCTAATAAGAATAACTTTGGGGGGGAAAAAAACACATTGACACAAAGATAGCTCTAAAATATTTCTATAATAGTCAACAACCACTACACATAAGTTTTTAAAACTTACGTATAGGTTAAAAAGGCCTAAAAGACCTTCATAACAGAATACATTTAATCTATACCTATCCTAGAATACTATTATATTCCTTTTGTTTTACATGAGTTAACATATTTCAACACTGAAGCAGTCATCAAACAACCTCTTTGAGATAGCTACAAAGCAACAAAGATTAAACCATTTTGATCAGGTTTAAACTATCAACATGCTGGTTTTAATTATCTTCAAGATCAGTCATTTCTGCTCAAATACACAAATAACTTACCAAGAATTACAAACATAATTAATGTCCTATTTTATCTAGCAATATGTTCACTAAAAGTAAATGCTCATAAAAACTAGACTTTTGTCCAAACAGTAAAATTTTAATTATTTAGATTAATTTTTTTTGCTGTATCACACAATTCTCCCTTCTTATTCAAGTAGAGTATAATGATGGGGTTCATGTCTTATGTCTATTATGCTGACCCACTCACCAGACATTAATACAGTGCAGCTGATATTGGGGGCTGCAGAAGTGTGGCAATCTTATAACTGGCCTCAGATTTCTACACATTTTAAGTCCTTATATCTTTATATCCTTTGATGTCAGCCATCAAGTTGTTTCATCCTGTCATGCTCACAGAAAATTATTTTTTGAGGCTTTCTCTATAGTGTGCTATTTTTAGTATGTTGAAAACTAAAAGGAGACTCAATAATTTAAAAGTAAAATAATAATTATTAAAAAACAAAAAATTTTAATATATGTTCAAAACCAAGAATAAATGGGATCAATGAAGGATCTCCTAATAGAAAAGTTCATGGACATTTTAAAATTCAGTGGCCTTTTTTTCATGGGGGGAAAGGAGGAAGTAGGAGTAGGAGTAGGATAAAATATAGTAGAATTCCCAACTTTCCTGGCTATTTAAGAAAGCAGCCAAATACATACATGCTAAATAAAGGGTTAATAATAGAATACCAGGTAAACAGAAACATTTATAATACAAAACAATTTTATTCTTGAATAATACTTAGAACTCCTAAAGACACTTACATCTGTTACATATGCCTCAGTAATTGGAGGACCCCGAATTGGGCTGAAACGTTCCCCAATGCTCCTCACCACAGTACTAAAAACCCTGAGAAGAGCTGCCAGCTTTGGTAATGACACTGAAGGAGGAGGTATGTCTTCATCCACTGACTCCCCAGAGGCCACATGGCTGAGGTCCTAGAAGTGAATTCACAGCGTTCTTATTTAAGTAAGACACTTTATAGATTTTTACAAATAAAGAGGTATGAGAAAAGGAAACATGAATCTAGTTGTAAAAGTAGATTTTACTTCTAATTAAATAAGGCAATATTAGCCTCAGTAGATTAAGGAAATAACCTCTGTACCAATTCAGATAGGTATTGAGAAAAAATGAATTGTAGTACATATACTATATAGTTTTATGTTGGTATAAATAAAACCAAAACTGTTGCCATTCCTAAATTGTTTTTTGGTAAAATCTCATTCCAGGTATTCAAAATACTCAACTAAATAATAAGTACCCCACACCAACATTATGCATACACACACACACACACACACACACACACACACACACACACACACGAGAGAGAGAAAGAGAGAAGAAAAAGAAGGAGGAGGAGGAGGAGGAGCAGGAGCAGGAGGGGGGAGGTGAGGAGGAGGGAGGTAAAAAGTATAAGATCTGGTTCCCAGATTTATAATCTAGTTGCAGAAATAAGATATATTCAAAAGGAAAAGATTAGTAAAAAATGGGATACTAGAACCAATATATCACTACTGATAATTAAACAATCACATAATGAAAGAGAATTAGATTTTATGGATATAAAAGGGATGAATCTCTACAAACTAGAATAAGTGGCTTCAGAGAGGCAGATCAGCTTGAAAGGTGGGAGAGGAACAAAGACTTTCGATGTATGGGGGGCAAAGAAACATGTGGAAACAAAATATTCCCTAGCTTTTCTCTGAAAGGGGGCAAGTAGACTTGTGCCATTAAAAGTAGTGAATTCTTGCCTGCCCAGCGTGGGTCAGTGGTTGAGTTGTCAACGTATGAACCAGGAGGTCTCGGTTTGATTCCTGGTCAGGGCATATGCCTGGGGTTGCAGACTTGACCCCCAGTGTAGGGCTTGCAGGAGGCAGCCAGACAATGATTCTCTCATCATTGATGTTTCTATCTCTCGCTCCCTCCCTCTTTCTTTCTAAAATCAATTAAAAAATATTTTTTAAAAATGCAGTGAATTCTCATTGGCTAGAAGTAGCCAAGGTATAACAAAAATATGAAGCTAAATCTTAATGGAAGCTTGAACACCAAACAAGAATTATTGTAGATCTGAGTAGGGAAGAAACCCAGAAAGATTCAGTCAGATAACAGCAGGTTTAAGCCATAACAGTAGGGCCAGGAAAGCCAAGAACCAGTAACAGAGACTTCAGCAGCACCCTTAAAACTGCTACAAGCACTTGTACAGCTGCAAAAGTTGGTGGAAGAAACCAAGTCTTGTCCTCCAAAGTATAATCTATGATCTCCAATCATGTAAGAGGAAAGTCTTCAGGGGCTTTTATACTTTTAACAATTCACCTCACTTTCTTTTTTTTTAATCCTCACCAGAGGATATGTTTTTACTGATTTTAGAGAAGAGAGAAAGATCAATCGGTTTCTCATACATACCCCGACCAGGGAAGAACCCGCAACCTGAGTACTTGCTCAACTGGGAATCAAACCAGTGACCTTTCAGTGCACAGGACAACGCTCCAATCAAATGAGCCACACCAGCCAGGCCTCACCTCACTTTTTAAGTCTCTTTTAGTTAACAAAAAATAAGAGTGAACTACAGAAAATGTCTTCAGAAAGCTACCAGCTACCAAGATGATTTCAAGCTTTGCAAAATCAGGCCTACAATTTTTCTTTCAGTCTTTTCAGTAATTCTGCTGGTAACTTAAAAACTCATCTAAGAAAAATAATACATTGGCAATGGTCCTATAATTCCTGTTCAAATGTCAGGTGGTCTGACTTATTTTAAAATAAATATAGCACTTTAAGATTTTTTTGTTTTGGTAGCAATTTATTTTTTTCCTTTTTATTGAATTTACTGGGGTGACACTGGTTAATGTTTTGTTTTTTTTTAACCGAAATTTCAGGAAATAACTTTGTCTATACTCACCTCAGCATATGCCTCCATATCCTCTAGAAACTGACCAAGAAGAGTAGTAGAAAAAGCAAGATCAGCTACCCAAAATGGCTCCAGACTCTGCAACCACCCTAGGAATCATATAAGAAAGTTTAAAAAAAATATCCAAATAAAAAATATATTTGAGAGCCTTATTTTCTGGTTTTCAACTTGCCAACTCTTAAAACACGACCTGTATCACAAAACCAGGACTACTAACTATTAAGCATGCTAACCATGATTAACCAACATCTTTTAAATGCTGTAAAAATAAATGTTCTCCAGAATATGTATCTCACGTCCTTATTTTTCAGCAGATTTAATAACCATATTGTCACTATACACATGGCTTAGACCAGCGATGGCGAACCTTTTGAGCTCGGCGTGTCAGCATTTTGAAAAACCCTAACTTAACTCTGGTGCCATGTCACATATAGAATTTTTTTTTAATAATTGCAACCATAGTAAAACAAAGACATATTTTTGATATTTTATATATTTAAATGCCATTTAACAAAGAAAAATCAACCAAAAAAAATGAGTTCGCGTGTCACCTCTGACATGCGTGTCATAGGTTCGCCATCACTGGCTTAGACGAAAATGCCACAACCTACCAACAACCAGCCTGGTTATTTATCCTAGGGCCACAGCTAGCCACCAAAGGTATGCACTGATTTCCCCAGAATAAATGACACAGAACCAGATTCACCTGCACACCTTATTTTCAGAATTTTACTGCACCAAATAAGAGAAACTATAGCATTTAGAACGGGCTGAAGTGCCCAAGTGAGTCTTGCTAGTCATCCACTTAAACTCAAAAAAATTTTTTCTTTATCATTTATGACAATTTTCTAAATTAATCCATGTTTGTGTGTGTGTGTATGTGTGTTTTAATTTAAAAAAAAACAAAACACAAGTCACAAATATCTAGGACCTTCCGTTCTATATTTCAGGATATGACCACTATTATATCCCCTCCTACCAGCACATGCCACAAAGGATTTAGTTAAGTCCTTTCAATTTCTTACTGGAGCATTATAATCTCTACTTGGACTCTCCCTATCTACTACAAAGTACACAATTTTCTTTTGAAAAGCTAAATTTACCTAACAAGTAATGTTCATTTATAATAGCCAAACTGTATCTGTGAAACAATTAATAATAGCTGGTCTTTGAGGGATCAGTGCTCCTTCCCACAATAGTTACATAATTGGTATATGCTGCACCACTTACCAGACACCTGCTGTGTGAGCGAAGGTTTCTGAGTATGATCTATATGCCATCCAACTAATATATCAACCGTATCCTGGATGGAAACAGAGAAGGGCACCAAGCAATTTAAATTTAAGGTCTTACTACTATTCCACCTGTGGATGATTTCAGAGTAAGTGGCCCTAGAAAGGACATCTACTGTCTACCTACTTGACATTTAAAGTGAAAAAGGGAGAGGGCAGCCAGAAGAAAATGGAACTTTGTTTATGACACTGATAAAATGATATATTTTTCTTTAAATATCTTAGGGCATGCGTGTCAGAAAATAGATAGTATTTTTTATAAAAACATTAATGCTGTACCATTCAATCCTGGATCCTTGAACATCACTTAATTATACTCAAAGGAGCAGAAACTTTGTTTTCTACTTGAGTTCCCAGGTCCTTATACATGCAATCAATCTCTCACTCCATCATCAGAAAAGAGGGGATTGGGATACTTACCCTAAAGTTAGTGCTGAAAATATGAGGGTAGCATCGAGCTACCAAAAGAATGCACTTAACACATTTGCAAAGTAATTCTGGTGTATCCACATTTTCAAGAATGGACTGCAGGCTGGTCATTACAAGCTAAAAAAAAAAAAAAATCAAACCATGAACATTCAACAAAACAGGAAGAAAACAAGCAAATTAGGTTCATTATTTAATAGTGACTGTATCCAAATCTGACTATAATACCAAAGAAAATAAATTCTATAGTTTTAGCTCAAAAAAAGTTGAAAACATTTCATTCCACTAAGGTATCAGGCTGGAAACAAATACTGTTTTCTCCTCTTTGATGTCTGTTAAAATTATTTCTAAGTAACGTCTATTTACATTATTCCTAAGTGCTCTCTTTAATGCATTGATGTGATTACATTTCAAATACAAAAACTAATATGTGCTTAGGAACATTTAAAAAATACCACAATTACTTTCTAATTAAAAAAATAGAGCAGTTTATGCTTGAAAATATTAATACATGCTTCAAACTGGAATGACTTAGAGATTAACATGGCCCCAATTCATGAGTGACTTACAGGTTCATATTATCACTACATATTTCTTTTAAATAAATAGATGGCATACCACTCACAGAATATTTTGCAGCTATTTAAAGCCACTTTTTTCCCCAAAAAAATGAAAGCTTGTCTTTACAAAAGAATGTTATAAATATAGAAATGCTAGAATTAGAAAACAAACATTATGCAACAGCCAACTTTATATAATCTATAGACAGGACATGAATGGATGCTAAAAATCATTGAAATATTACCAAAAAACAGGATACCCAGAAGGTCTCAAAACATCATGCCCATATTAATCACTAAATACAAAGGGAGAAAAATAAACCTTCACAATGGAAAGACCTAGTAGTCTTCATCTCAACCAGGTAATCAAACTCTTCACCTCAGAGAATAAGACAACCTGAAGTTATATGCCTACTGATGTGATGCAATAGTAAGTATAAACTTTCTATGAAGTATTGGTGACCAAAATGTCTAAACTAAATCTAATCAGAAAGAAATAATCAGACAAGCCCAGAAAGTAGATCATTCTACAAAATAAGGGGGACAAAAAGGTACAAAGAACTGTTCTGAGAAAGATTAAAGAGGCACAAACCAAACACAATGCATGAATCTTGATGAGATTCTGGTTGGGTAAGACAAAAGATATAAAAGACATCTCAGAGGTAACTGTAGAAATCTGAATATAGGTTGTATTATGTAATAAAATTAATTATAGTTTTGTTATATAAGAGAATAGCCTTATTCTTAGGAGATAGATGTTAAAGCATTATGGGGTAAATTGTCATAATATGTGTAATTTGTTTTCCAATGATTCAGCAAAAAAGTATATGTGTATGTATAAAAATAAAATAACTGTAGCAAAATGTTAATAAGTGACAAATCTAAGTAAAGGATGTATAGCAGGGGTCCTCAAACTACAGCCCGCGGGCCACATGCGGCCCGCCGAAAACATTTATCCGGCCCGTCGGGTGTTTTTGCAGCTGCTGCCTGTCCTGCTTAGCAGCCGACTCGTCCTGGGCCAGCAGTGCGCATGTGTGGAATGTCTGAGGGACAGTGAACTGGCCTCCTGTTTAAAAAGTTTGAGGACCTCTGATGTATAGTGTTCACTATACTGAAGTTTGCTGTGGACTTTAAAAGTTTCAAAATAAATATTTAGGGGAAAATTCATAATATAAAAACTATATACGATAGCCTGGCCAGCGTGGCTCAGTGGTTGAACATGGACCTATGAACCAGGAGGTTACAGTTAGATTCCCAGTCAGGGCACATGCCAGGTTGCAGGCTTGATCCCTATTGGGGGTTGTGCAGGAGGCAGCAGATCCATGATTCTCTCTCATCATTGATGTTTCTCTCTCTCTCTCTATTTCCCTATCTCTCTGAAATCAATTAAAACAAACAAACAAACAAATAGGATAAGCTCTTTTGGTGTTATGCTGTTTAGTTACAGATAATTTTCGAATCTTTTCAAAATTTTTTTTCATGACCTCTATAATCAAGAAAAAAAATGCATCCTTTAAAAAGGCAGAATAAAGTAGGACTGATATTAATTTATACACAATTATTTTACATCACTTGGAATAAGAATATTTGACATATTATCAAACGTAAAAAAGCATAGTATGACTTGTGATGTTCAGTTTTTGTCTCCCTCAAAAAAATGTGAAGCCCCTCCTATTCCATGAAGTTCCTATTTTAAAACCTGCAAATAATTCTAGTCCTAAACAAATTCAAAGGAAAGCTTCTAAAAAGCAGAGAGGTGGGGGGTGGGAAACCTAACTTATTTTAAGGCTATCTTTAATGTGTGTCCTTTACTCAAATTCAAAAAGAGGAATTTTACTTATATCGCATTTACTATCAGTAGATAGCTCTATTCTAAATTTCCTTTTTTCAAGCTCCCCTTCGCAGGACATATATTAAAGACAATTTTCATTCCAAGCACATCATCAAACACCCCCTCCCCCCAATCTTACCTGCATTACAGATGAAAAGGCTTTCTTTTCTCCTACAGTCTCTAGTGCTTTGTAGGTGGCACATAAGTAGAGGAGTTTAACTTCATCTTTTGCAGATGAGCTAAATTTGCTAAAAATCCATTTGAAGATCTTCTCAGCCTCATAGCTCAGAGAAGCACAAAGAAGGCCAAGACAGCAAGCGCCTTCTTGTCTCAATTCCTGAAGCAATTTGCTACTGTGTTTATTTTAATGCAAACAAAACAAAATACACAAAAAGCTTAAGCTTTCAAGGATAAGAATGACAATATCTTACAAAAGAATGTCTTAAATGATTTTTTTAAAAATTCTATTCAAACTACATAAAAGGTTGAGATTTTATTCACCTTAAATATTCTCTATTCTTTCTATCCTGCAGTACCCAAAAGCACCTTAATTAGACACTGGGCTTTCTTTTACAGATTCAATTACTTACAAACAGTAAGGAAAAAACAAAAAACACTAAAATTCATGCTTTCAATTCCATCTCAAGCTTCACTAAATGATTCACAGAAAAAGGCAGCAACAAATGATTAGATAAAACACACTATAAATATATACTATATAATGTTCACTATGTAAGGGCTATAAAAATAGGAAATTCCTAAGTTAAATATAATAAACTTAAAAGAATAACAACACTCATTTAAGTATAATAGGTAACTATATAAAATAAAACAGTAAGGTTCATGACCTGCTGAGATAAATTGTGGGTGCTTTCCAACACTGCAATTCTTTGGAAGCCACCATACAAATAAATGATTGCATACCTTTGGAGAACCCCAGTAGCCTCATAGACTAGGTTTGAGCTGCCCAAAAAAGGAAGATCCATTTCACCTTTACTCTCTAAGCAATTTCAAAATTCTCTAGTTTACAAACGGTAATTGCATTCATTCATTCATTCATTCATGCCTGCATTAAGAATTTATGTCACTCTATATGTCAATCCTCAATTATTCAGTTATGTTAACAAATTTTTAAAAAATTATATTCCCTTTCAAGGATTCCATTTGTAGTCAATGGTTATTAACATATAAATACTTTAACACAGATAAAGATGACAAGAGAATCCAGTGAAACATTAAATAGATGTTCATAAATGAAACTAATGGGTTTATCTTGTTTATTTTTTAATAATTTCAAAAAATATACCTTACATTTTAAATTTAACCATTGTTACTTACCTTTCATTAAGCACATCATGTACAGCAGTCAAGATATTATCCAATTGTTTAACCAGTACCTTAAAAAAAAAAAATTTATAAAAACTTCAAATTCCTGTACTTTTAAGAATAACACTGTGTACTTTTTCTTGTGTACCCTTCCAAATTATAATTGGACAACAGCTCACAGTCCCCAATTAGCATATTTCAGGAATATTATAAGTTTTTTTTCAGACTATGAAAAAAATTCATCCATATAAAACAGAGCCATGATCATCAATGGGGGTAAAAAACTCAAAAGGCTTGTTTAATTTACTCTGAAATGCATTTTTTAAAAATGAATTGATGGGGAGAGATGAGTATATAATAAAGCAATATGGTAAAATGTTAATGACAGAATTTAGATGATGGGCATATGATGTTTACTGTAAAATTCTTTGAATTTTCTGTATATTTATAATTTTTCATAATAAAATTTAATAAAATTTGGGGGTTGGGGGAGAAGCTTGCTTTGAATCAAATATTATTTGATTCACCATACAACTTCTCATTAATTTTTCTCTTCATATCAAATTCTTAATTTAATATTAGGAGAATTACTTGGGGTAGAGAGAAATATGTAACTGCTCCTACATTTTGTCCTTGAAAGAATTTTTCCATTTATTTGGTCCTGATCACCAGACCAAACTTACCCATGAACAAAATATGTAACCCCTACCCCAATTTCACATATGAAAAACAACAGATATTCTGTTCTGAAACACAGAAAAAAAAATTCGAGGACAACATAATACATGTGTTAAAAGCACTTTATTGCAGAACCAATGTGGCTCCAACAATGGTAGATAAATTACAGAATAGGGGCATTAAATTCTAGATCATCATAATACAGGCCAAATTTATCTGGAATAAGAAATCCCTGTTATTGCTCCTTAGAAGCAAACCCTTTCCCTTCTTAAACCACTCTGGATAGCATTTACCTAGTTTATTATGGAAACACAAAAATTATCAACATTTCCAAGCACGCTATACTTACCAGTTTATTTTCTGGTTGCTGAATAAATTCCTTCAATTGCTTTACAGTAGTCAGTCTTCGGTCTCTGTCGTCTTCCCGGGTGATCCTCCGAAGAAGATTCGACAGTCGAGACTCATCAGAGTAAGACATCGATCGCTCTGTGAATATAAACATTTTGTTATCCATTGAGTATAAATAAGCGTAGAATTATATCCCAAATATTTTAAAGTACATCAAAAATTATAGTCCGCTGGACAATGAAAGGAGGTCCCATCACACTTTTGTTCATCACTATATAAACCAAGCCCCAGCAGACAGCTGTGAACATGACAGACCCTCAGAAGAGAAAAACCTCATTCTAGAGCAGTGGTTCTCAACCTTCTGGCCCTTTAAATACAGTTCCTCATGTTGTGACCCAACCATAAAATTATTTTCGTTGCTACTCCATAACTGTAATGTTGCTACTGTTACGAATCGTAATGTAAATATCTGATATGCAGGATGGTCTTAGGCGACCCCTGTGAAAGGGTCGTTCGAGCACCAAAGGGGTCGCAACCCACAGGTTGAGAACCACTGTTCTAGAGGATTAGCTGAGAATTCTGTTAAAATAAGATTAGAAGACTGGGTAAGACTTTAAAGATTTTTAAAAAGGGTTAGAAATTGTTTTCTTCAGATCTGCTCCAAACTGATTTCAACTTCCAAGTAAAGAGCATGGGTATGGTAAAAGACTTCAATAGGTTAGGGGTAAATTCTCAACCAGGGAGAATACAGGCTATATGCTTCTATTTCTCACCTAGGTATCCCACTGGGCGGCTCAGAGCCTCTTGTTCACATTATGATCATTTTCCTAGCACAAAGTTTTGATGAATTGAAATCATGTTTCACTACTACCTACTATGTGCAAGGTATGCTGCCAGTCAGAAAGTGGCAAATCAGAAACTTTCTTCCCTTTACTTTTTAATGACAAGAACAAGTGGGAATGCTCAAATAATGTTTGACAATAATAAAGATGCATTTAGATACTAAAATTTTCTTTTGAAGTTTCAGCTATGCTATCTAATCTAATAATAGACAAACATGGTAATTGACCATACCTCCGCTATGCTTCCCATTGGCAAATCAGCAGGATATGCAAATTAAACCAACCAAGATGGCGGCCGGCAGCCACACAGCTGTAGCGAGCAGGAGGCTTGCAAGCCAGGCTGATGGCTGCCAGTACAGCGGTGGTGGTGGGAGCCTCTCCTGCCTCCTCAGCAGCGCTAAGGATGTCCGACTGCAGCTTAGGTCTGCTCCCCGCTGACAAGTGGACATCCCCCAAGGGCTGTCGGGCTGCCAGAGGGATGTCTGATTGCCAGCTTAGGCCCAATCCCCCGAGGACCAGGCCTAAGCCAGCAGGTGGTCATCCCCCGAGGGGTCCCAGACTGCGAGAGGGCACAGGCCAGGCTGAGGGACACCCCCCCCCCCCAGTGCACAAATTTTTGTGCACCGGGCCTCTAGCCATATCAAAGGGTCTGACAGTTTCAGTTCTAAGGCACAAAAGAAAAACTACAATAAAAGCAATTACAACATATGAGACAAGAAGTAAGAATTTCTGAAATCCCTAGCCCATTGAATATTTCAGTAAGGACGAATACAGAATATGTCATTAGGACACCAGACTGGAAACCTAGGTTCTATTTACAATTCTGCCAACTGCATAACTTGGAGCCTGTGAGGAGAAAGAATTAGACTAACTTAGTGTTAGAGTCGCTTTCCAATTTCTATCATACATAAGTCTAAGACTTCAAACACTATTTAGAAACAGTACAACCTCTGATTTAGCATTCTACTTCTGGAAACTTATCCAAAAATAATCATTTTTCAAAAGCTATATGCACAAAGATGTGCACCAAGATCCACATAACACATACATACACACCCCGCAATGGAACAAGTCATAAACTAAATGTCCAAAGAGTAACTCTTTCCAACAAAGTGTATAAATCAGAAATCTTGATTTCACACTCAGTTTTACCAATACAATAAATTTCTCTTGTAGGAAAAAAGTTTTTACCTCTAATCCCCTGAATTTTCAGGGTACTTTATCTATATACACTGAGGCTCGTGTTATAAGGCAGAAAGAGGCATGATTGCATTTAACTTCAGAAAGGGTCCACTCCATGTATACTCATATCCCCCGTAGGCATTAGGGTTCATAGACTTGCAGCAATAAGAGCCCACTGTACACATTCAATAGCCACAATAATCAGGAAAACTCTTTCTTTAAAATCTTACCCAGTCTTCCAATCTTATTTTAACAGAATTCTCTTCTAAAAAGTATTAAAACCTTTCTGGTAGGAATTTACTCGTAAACAATTCACAGGAAAAGGAATGCAAAATATTATTGTGTGCACAGGTTTTTCAACTCAGAGTAAATTAACCAATTCACACATATGCAAGGTATTAGTACAAAATAAGGTATCTAGGAGAAGAGGAGATACAGGTCTTAGTGGAACATGTGTGTGGTCCGCAGTTTGCCCAGTCTTACCCTGTGATTTCCTCATGTCTTTGATGGCTAATGCACGACTGCCATGCTGAACACTGGTGAACTCAGGGTTGGTCACATTGTTAACCCTCAGCTCTTGCCCCAACGACTTCCGACCATAAGTATTTTCCCCAGATCCTCCATTGACACTGTAACCACCTAAAAACAGCAATATTTATGTTATTTACATAAGGCTCTTTGTTTCACTCAATGAATTCCTGAGAGTTCAGGATCTTATTACCTACTCTACAGTTCAACCAGCCTTTGCTTCTCTTACCTGTCCCTGCACTGCCGGCCTTGAAACCATCTTTTAATTTCATTTTAATAACTTCAACAGAAGATAAGAGAAATGCAAACTAAAGTCAGATTTTCAGGGCGGGAAGAGATTAACAAATGAACTTATATGCATAACCCATGGCCTGTGGAAGGGACTGGAGCGGGGTGGAGGAGGTCAAGGGGATGGGGGAGGGGGTCTGCAATACTTTCAACAATAAAGATAAATTTAAAAAACCTTTTAGGCCCTGGCTGGTTGGGCATTATTCCAAGCACTGAAAGGCTGCAGGTTTAATTTCCAGTCAGGGCACATGCCTGGGTTTCGGGCTTGACCCCATTGCAGGCGAGTGCAGGAGGCAGCTAATAGATGTTCTGATGTTGTTTTTTTCTCTCTCTCTCTCTCTCTACCTCTTCCTCCCTCTCTCTCTCTAAAAAGATCAATAAATACCTAAAAACAAAAACAGAAAAATCTTTTGGGACAATCCTGGCCAGGTAGCTCAGTTGTTTAGAGCGTCAACCCGATATGCCAAGGTTGTGAGTTTGATCCCCAATCAGGGCACAAGAATCAACTAATGCCCTAGCTGGTTTGGCTCAGTGGACAGAGCATCAGCCTGTGGACTGAAGGAAGGGTTCTGGGTTCAATTCCAGTCAAGGGCACATGCCCAGGTTTTAGCCTCAATCCCCAGTAGGGGGTGTGCAGGAGGCAGCCAATCAATGATTTTCTCTCATTGATGTTTCTATCAGTCTCTCCCTCTCTCTTCCTCTCTGAAATCAATAAAATATATATTTTTTAAAATCAACCAATGAATGCATAAATAAGTGGAACAAATCTGTTTGTCTCTCTCCACCCTTCTCTCCCTTCCTCTCTAAATATAAATCAATCAATCAATCAATCAATCGCACTTTGGGCAAGTCTAGAGGAGAGATGGTAGTCGACAGAGACTTCAGTCTTAGTGATACTGTATTTTTCTTTTTTGGCAAGGAAACTGCATTTCTGTATTATATGTATATAAAGTGTTTTAATTTTTTAAATTTAAGGGGGTAAACTTATGAAGTTTCAAAAATCTCACTGTATTTTATATACATATATTTTTTAAACCACCTAGCTCTAAAGTCCAGGGTTTCTTGCCTCTGCACCATGGTGTGCTGCCTATTATGAACTGCTGTTTACTTTGACATTTTATTAAATATAAAATAGCTATATTCTAAGCATAAAGAAAGAGGTGCAGAAGGGAGAGAAAGGGGAGGGAGGGATGGGTAGGTTAAAAAACATAAAAAGCATGCCCCTACCAATAAGGAAATATATATACCCTTTTCGTCATTCTGTATGTCAACGTGGACTCTGGTATCATCGTGCCTTTGCCGAGACACCACAGCTGAATTCGAAGGTTGCAGTCCATAAGAGGAAGACCCACCCCTATCTCTGGATGAAGAATATTTTAAATTATCTGGGTCGGCTGATGCACTATCAGTTCTGTAAAGAGAGAAGAGTATAAGATTAGAACTTTAAACAAATATTTCAATAGTAATTTTCAACCGGTGTGCTGCAAGAGGCACACTAGTGGTTCCACAAGAATTTTTAAAACATGCAATGCCAGACTATTTAGTCAGTAATACTGACCTCTTTTCTCTTAGATTGTCAAATAAAAAATATGGCAATAGCCAATACAACAATAGCTGTCCAGTGTGAATGGATAAAAATTAATATCTTTATTTCCCATTGATTTCTAGAGAGAGTGGAAGGAGAAACATGGACAGGAGAGAGACACATTAATTGGTTGCCTCCTGCACACACTCCTACCAGGGCTGAGAACCTGCAACTGAGGTATATGCCCTTGAATGAGATTCAAACCTATGACCCTTTGGTCCTCAGGCCGACGCTCCAACCACTGAGTCAAACTGGCCAGGGCTATACCTTATTTTTTGGTCAGACTGGTGTGTCACAGAATTTTAGTAATTAGTGTCACAGAATTTTAGTAATTAGTCTATGTGTTCCTTGAAATGAAAAAGGTTGAAAATCACTGGCCCAAGTAATAAATCTTTCTTTTATATAAGCCTCTCTTTCTTCTCTCCACCTTTTATATTTTTTAAATCATTACTCTTATAAATAAGCACTCCAGTGTCTAATAAGTCTCAATGGATGAAATGCCCATTTTTCAGCTCCTTCTACTACTATTCTAAGGATCCATTTAGAAATATGAGTAACTACAGGATTAAGATTCCCAACTTATCCCACTTTGCTCAAGACTTAACTGACTTTAGCACTAAAGTCCCATGTCCTAGGACAGTGATGGCGAACCTTTTGAGCTCGGCGTGTCAGCATTTTGAAAAACCCTAACTTAACTCTGGTGCCGTGTCACATATAGAAATTTTTTGATATTTGCAACCATAGTAAAACAAAGACTTATATTTTTGATATTTATTTTATATATTTAAATGCCATTTAACAAAGAAAAATCAACCAAAAAAATGAGTTCGCGTGTCATAGGTTCACCATCACTGTCCTAGGAAGTCCCTCAGCCCTAGGCAAACTGGGACACTTGGTCACCCTGGTCCAGGATTCTCTTCACATGACTTGATAAAAGAAGTTCCTTAGGGAGAATGCCTTAAAAAAGAGGCTTTTGTCTGATTCATGTTTAGAATATGGAAGGATTTATCTTCAGTTGCCCATTACCTTTGCCTATCTGGGAAGTGACCCTGTCAATTGTACACAGTGGCACAGAGTGATATGGCAGAAGGAGGGCCAGAGTTTAGTGTTCCGAGTAGCTTTTGGATCCTGCACTTCATGGGGAGGACTCAGGACTTCCTGTTAAGACTTTAAAGCAGTGGTTCCCAAACTTATTTGGCCTACCGCCCCCTTTCCAGAAAAAATATTACTCAGCGCCCCCTGGAAATTAATTTTTTTTAAATTTTAATAGCAATTAAACAGAAAGATATATGTATTAATGTTTCTACCTTTTTTGTAAAATATAGTAAAGAAAGGTGTAAATTAGAAACATTGAAGTTTGAAATTATGAAACTATTTCTTGAACTCAGAATAGAAAGGTAATACAAAAAAAGTTAAAATAAATGCACCTGTGGCCATCACCGCCCCCCTGGATCGCTGCAGCGCCCACCAGGGGGCGGTAGCGCCCACTTTGGGAATCACTGCTTTAAAGGCTTGTGATCCTGCTTTCAAGACTAGTTGGTGAGAGGAGAGCTAATCTGAGGGCATAGCTGGAAGTGGATCCCTAAATTATGAACTCCGTGGAAGACATGGCCCCTGAAAGCCAAGGCGATACCAAGTCAACCATAGAGTACCACCTAGAGAGAGAGGAAGAGGGAGAGGGAGGAGCAGGAGGTAAAAGAAGCAGTTCTTTCTCCCAGGAGAGATTTATCAGTGGGAAAAATTAATCTTCCCAGTTGTAAAAAAACACTGGCAACATATGAGGCAGTTGCAAAGTTTTACCAAATTACTGTTTTTTTAATATATATATTTTTTTATTTCAGAGAGGAGTGGGGGGGAGGGGGGAGAAACAACAATGATGAGAGAGAATCACTGATTGGCTACCTCCTGCATGCACCACACTGGGGATCGAGCCCACAACCTGGGCATGTGTCCTGACCAGGAACAGAACAGTGACCTCCTGGTTCATAGGTCGATGCTCAACCACTGAGCCATGCCAGCTGGGCCCAAATTACTTTTAATGTACTGCCTCATGGCAATGTAGCATTCTCTCTCTCTCACCTGAATGTGTAACTTATTTGGTGGAAAATAAATTATAGAATGATATTTGAAAGCAAGTTCAGTGGGATATAAGGAAAGAACACATTAGTTGCAAAGTAAGATTATTCTATTGAACTGCAATACTGAAAGTTTCACCAAAGATTCCTTAACTATAAAAAATATCTATTAAAATTCTAAAAAGTGAGGAAAATGAAAGATATCAGGAACCCAATAAAGCTAAGTTTAAAGGTTGCAGTTCATAATCTATTTAAAAATCAAACATTGTCAGCTCTGGATGGGTAGCTCAGTTGGTTAGAGCATCGTCCTGATACACCAAGGCTGCAGGATTGATCCCCAGCCAGGCACATGCAAGAATCAACCAATGAATGCATAAATGAGCGGAACAGCAAATCAATGTTTCTCATTCTCTCTCTCCCTATATCTCTCTAAAATTAATCAATAAATAAGTGTTTTTTTAAATCAAGCATTATTCAGGATAATCCTGGATACTTGAATATTAATAAATGAGGGGTGCAGTTTTAGGGTAAAATTAGTGTCCTTATCCAGGATCAGCTCTATGCCTCAATGTCCTCATCAGTAAACTAGAGAGCTAAGCTTCATAATTTCTCATGAACCTTATTCTTCCAAGCATCGATCATAAGGTATCAAGAAATAAGACAACACTACATACCATATGGCAACATTTTTAAAAGTTCCTCTCCTACTGATACTTCTTATGAGAAAAACGGCCTTTTGAAAAATCACTTTTATGATACTTACTGAAACACCTTCTGAACTTATAATTATTTGGAAAAATTAAGGACACTGGCAAGAGCAGAAGCTACTCTATTCCTCAACCCCCATGACCCTACCCCATATATAAAATGACTGCAGTGTTTATAAGTATATTTAATTTAGTTATCATCCTTTCATTGCCCTCACCCACAAAAATACTAAACATGAAACTTTGCACAGGCTCAATCAGTCAGACACCCTGATCTGTACTTCTGTAGCCACTGTTGATACAGAATACAAACAATAAGCCCAATTAAACTTGGATCCCTAAGTGTCACAAGTCTAAATTATTCCTAAAGGCTCTCCATTTGAAACTTGATAAAATTCCGTAACCCTAGCATACTAGAAGAACTAAGACTTCATAATGGAGTATCTTCTTCAAACATACAGGGTTCACTAATTGATAGACAAAGCTCAATACTTTCAACATATGGGAAAATAAAATCAATGAAATTTCAAGAAAAATGTATGAGAATATTTTCTAAGTATACTAAATCTCTAAGTACTTAAGTACCGTTAACTCTAAGTGGAGCATGAGGACTTTAAAAAAAAAAAAAAAACGAATGTAAAAACATTCCCCATGTATCCAAAAATAGCACATTAAATATTCACCTATAATAATCCATAACATACCATTAATTTAAAGGAAATTGAAAAATAAAAGAGAGCATATGAGCTTTTCTGACAGGTTTTGAACTTTCTGTATGTTTGGCATCTAACACAACCTGGGAAAGAAAGATGTTAGGAAATGAATGAGTGAAGTAAAATAATTCTGCAACACCTAGATAAATGAAGTCTACTAATATTCAAATATCGGAATTTCCTTTTTCATTATGTTTATGTATCACATATATTTCTCTTTTAAATATTTGTATTATTTTCTGGTAGCATAGCAGTAGACTTAAAGCAGCAGAAAATACAGATCTAAAAAAAAGATCTGGTCTCAAATCGCAGCTCCAGCACTGAAAAAGTACGTATGACTCTGCACAAGGTACTTATCTCCAAGCCTTGGTTGTCTCTGGCTTAAAATGGGGGTAATATCTATCTAATATGGACGGTTGTTGTGAGGCTTAAATAAGATGATGAAATCTTAAAAAATACTCAGCTTATAGCGTACATTATCATAGTACTAAATTAACTCGTTTCCAGTCTAACAAATAATGTATAAGTAGTTCATGAACATATGAAGACAATCAAAATAAGTTCTTATGCTCAATATATAGCAGATTCTAAGTTCTTCATTGAAGAAATTAAACAATCTATTCCTACCAACAAATACATTCCTGACTAGCGAGTACTGATTTCAAACTAAATTGAAAAAAAAAAAGAAACAAAAAAAACACAACGAGAAACAGGAGTGACTTCCCAATTTGTTAGAAATACAGGTTTTTAAAATTCCATGAGTTAGGACCATCAAGATTCCCACCACCTCCATAATTTGGGTTTTCAGAGATATAAATCAAAATTTTCACTAGGGTAGAACCACTGTCTAAAAACTCCCTAATTGCCAAGTTCTTTTAATACTAACTGATTAAAACATTTCCAACCAGAATTCAAGATACTGGTATTCTGAACACAAAAAGCACAAATGGTTCAGCATTTACACAAGATCTCTATTTTATAATTTCTAGACTGCTTAGGTCTCAAAAAAAAAAAGTCAGTAGCAAGCTGTAATCACCAACAAGATTATCCCAGTCCAATAAACAGAAAACTGTTAAAGAACAGAAATGAACACTTAAAATGAGGCAATCAAAGGCACAAAATAGAAAATGCAGATTTGAACTCAAAGAGGCAGGCATAAATGTTAAGCTAGTTATAAGGGCTGAAAAAGCTATCATCTGCCAGAATTAGTGTCTCAATTTAGTGATAAAAGAAAATGTATCTGTTGAGACTAAGAACTCTAGAGCAGGGATCCAAAAATACCTCCATAGCCCCTTTAATACTCTAAAAATATTATGGAGAGAAAAAAAGAAATGCATAAATTTCCCCAAAATGATTAAACTGAAGTTAAAGCCTGATGTACATGCCACACGAGAGGTAAGTTTCTAAAGCTCATACCTCAAAAATCGCATACTGTATAATATGGAGCCTTTGTGATGTTTTGCATCAAGTCAATCTGTAAGACAGTAGTTACAATATTAGTGAAGGCAGCGGATTAAAACATTTGTTGTTCACACATGAAGCAAATATCATTCATGGATTAGGTGCTTTTAGTTAAACTATGGCCCTCTAGGTTTCATATGTTGAAGCAAAAATTGAAATGGAAAGCCACTCTGTGCCTTAGAGGATAGAGAGGCTTAAGGGGGCAACCAAAAAAAAAAAAAGTTTAATATATAGAAGAATTTAAATGTTCCTTATAACATACAAATCACATGCAAATATAGTTACTGCTCATTTTAGTGGTCTATTCTTAGTATATAGAAAATGTAACAAATCTGAGGAGTCATTCATTTTTGAATGACCCAAATCCTTAGACCTCAAATCAACAATCCACCATATATTAGAGGATAGTATCTCCTGGATAAATGTGGTCTTGTGGTCCAGTTCTTATAAGCATTATAAAGAATAACAAAAAAAAGAAAAGAATAGAAAAGAAAAGAGAAAAAAAGGAAAAGGAAAAGAGTCATTCTGGAAGTATGAAATCAGGGATTTGGAAGTATGAAGTCAGGGAATTCCCTATCAGGAAGCATTTCCATAAAGCACCCTGAAATGACTTGATGCAAACACCACACCTGGTGGTGCTAGGGGAATAAGCATCATATTGCTTCAAGTTGTTTTTAAGTAGGCTTATTAAGGAATTTTGCTCTCATGGTGAGATCTAATTTGTACTGGGTATCAACCAGGAAATAAGATTATACTAAAGCCAATGAGGTGGGAATGCATTTGCTCTCTAAAGCAGGGGTGGGAAAGGTGCAGCCCACGGGCCATATAAGGCCTCAGAAATCATTTGGTCTGGCCTTGCCACGGCAACCACAGGTGTGACTTGAAATTCAATAAATCTAGAAGCTTTTTTCATAGCAACATAAATTTATATTAAGGGAATTATATTAAGCGAATGATGTTATAAATATCCAAATGGCCCTTGTCAGAGAAAAGGTTCCCCACCCCTGCTAAAGCAGTGGTAACTCAAAGATAGTGTCACTGTCACAAAGCAGTTGTAGGATATGCCGAGTTTTTCATACTAACAGTTAATATCACTTGAAAATGATTTACCTTTTTTAGAAATAAATTCAAGGATATCCCTGTGATGTCTCTTACTCACCTGGATTCAGACATGCTTTCATGAGGAATAAGAAAAAAAGGTGAAACTATGCATAACCTTGGGCCTTGTGTACATCACTTTCACATTAGAAACACTACTCTAAAATGAGTCTAGGGCTAAAAATTTCATTTGGGAGACTCAGGGATTTCATTACATGAAACTCCTCTTGTAGGAGAAAATAGTAAGTTCAAATTTAATGAAACAGAATTGAACCAGCATGCCAAACTTATAAATGAAACATCAGTTTTACAATATTAAAAAATATTAAGTATATATAAATTCTTGATAAAATTTCCTTAGCTCCTTAAGTATTAACTGTCTATAAATAGGTTATTTGTTACCAATTTTTAAGTATTACTCAAACTCTCAACTAAATAGCCACTGTGGACTCAAAATACGAAAATACCTTTATTGTAAACTTGTAAGACTTTTTACCTTTCCCAAAGAGAGGTCTAAACTTTACCCTGGAAATTAATCTCTAAACTCTTGGAACATCATACCTAATAAGAGTGTTACTGTTCACCAGAGTTTAGGGCCACACCAGAAAATGTCACTTTATGGTAAAGGATTTCAGTCACATGAATCATCTCAATCTGCAGAAGGGCTGGAGACTAAGTTCAGCCATGTGGGCAGTCAATCATGGAGCCCCAATAAAAATTCTGGACACCAAAGCTGGGGTAAGCTTCCATGGGTGGTTAATACTCCATGCTTATTGTAATGCATCGATACCAGGAAAGTAATACTGTTCACAACTCCACAGGGAAACAACTGGATGCTCCACATTTACAACTTTCCTATACTCTGTCCTATGCACCTTTACATTTGGCTGATTTTACTCGATATCCTTTAGCTGTAAAAACCTGTAACCATGAGTATAAGATTTCAATGAGTTCTTTAAGTTCTTCTGGTGAATTATCCTACCTAAAAATAGTCTTGGGGTCCTCCCAACTTGCAACTGGTGTCAGAATAAAGGTGGTCTTATGGATCATGCCCCCTCTAACTCTGCACCTACCAGTATATTTTAAATCACTGAATATATTCTAATCCAAAATTTAAAAGACTAATTTTGTTTTTTTATAAAATCTTTAGCAAACATAATAAAGAACTGACTTTCAGGTGCAGTAA